ATTCTATACTCTTCTATTCTTTTAAGCTGTTATCAGTAGCACATATCTTGAAATAATCTGATAGATGTGCATTTTTAATATGTCTGGGCTTTTATTTCTTTGTTAAATTTACATTTGCATACTTGCAATTAGGCGTTTCATGCAGACTTATGTAACACTGGAGGAGAAGCATGTGATGAAAGGAGGGAGGAAAAACTCATGGAAAATTGAGGAACTGTGTGACTACTTTCAAGAGTCTGTATTTCTGGCAGCTGGAGCAGATTATTCCACAAGTTCGAAGCAGCTTTGTCAAAGCTCTCCTCACGGCAAATTGGAGTTTCACTAACCTGCACTGACCTGCTGCAGTTTCCTACATCAGTGATTTTTGGGTGACATGTTAGGTAATGTTGAGCATAAAGTTGTAGCTATATAGTAGTAGAGATATTGCTTTAGTCAATAAAAGTTGTAAGGTCAGAGCAACCCTTGTGCCAGGCCAGTGCTCTACTACCATCGGTTGCTACCCAGTTACTGACCCCTTAGCAGGAACAACTGAAGTAAAATGGATAATACAGCTCGATTTTAAAATTACTATAAAATATATGCTTTTACCTGTAAAGGGGGAGAGGGGGAAATTTCCAAACACAGTAATATAGTGTTGCACTGATGCATTTAGAAAGAAAACAAGGTTTTGATTCTGTCAGCATTTCACTCTGTGGGCGATTCTGTGCAGTCCCTGAAGTCCATGCACTGGATGGGTAGATGAAGTTGCATATTTTTAAGCCCTGCTTAGACAAAGCTTTTCATCTGACTTTCTTATCTGGAAGTATTATCCATGAGGACAGATGTTATATAACATCTCGCCTGGAGAGGAAGGCCAAAGAGAAAAGTTTAATATCTAACCAGACCATCCTGGCTTAGAGAGTTCATTTGCAAGTGGCTGTTGGAAGTCTGTTCACTGAAACAGGTCCTTGCAAAGTGAAGGTGGCACGGTGCAGCTCTTTACAGCTTTTCCCATCAGTGGGAGGTTGGGGTGGAGTGTTTACCTGTATGATGTCCCATTCAGTTGGGATGGGTAGGCAGGAGGGTTCTTTTGTGGCAATGGGAAAATCACTTAGTGTTTTGGTTTAACATCAAAACCACTAGAAAGTAAAAAATACACAGCAGAAGAACCATATATCAGAAAATACCTTATGGGGTCGAATAAAAGATAGTCAGACTTCTCTTTGTGGCACGCATTAACAAGACAGATCACAGAATCATAGAATGGTTTGGGTTGGAAGAGATCTTGAAGCTCATCTAGTTCCACCCCTCTGCCATGGACAGGGACACCTTCCACTAGACCAGGTTGCTCAAAGCCCTGTCCAGCTTGTCCTTGAACACTGTCAGGGATGGGGCATCCACAGCTTCTCTGGGCCACCTGTGCCAGTTTCTCACCACCCTCATAGTAAAGAATTTCTTCCTTGTATCTAATCTAAATCTGCTCTCAGTTTGAAGCTATTACCCCATGTCCTATCCCTACATGCCCTTATTTGTCCTTCTTCAGCTTTCTTGTAGATCCCCTTAATGGAGCGGAAGGCTGCTCTAAGGTCTCCCCAGAGCCTTCTCTTCCACAGGCTGAAGAAACCCAACTGTCTCAGCCTGACTTCATAGGAGAGGTGCTCCAGCCTTCTGATCCAGACCCTTTGTTGATCTTCAGCCCTTTAAGTTTCCAGAATGCTTCAAGCAAAATATCCCCTTACTTCTGACACTTCTTTATACAACATTAATTCTCTCCATGTAAAGATAGTGGTTCAAGATAAGCAACAGAGCAAGCATTAGGTAGTTGAATTATTGTCTCTCCTGGCAGGAGTTAGGTTAGTGAGTCTAGATGGGACCTATGTTGTCAATATTTAGGTTTGGATTTTAGATGTTTAGTTGTCTGATTAATCTGTTTGTATCTTAGAGCAAGAGGTATTTTATGTGGGAGCACACCTACACTAGTTACTAAATACTTGTGCCAATTCTTATTTGATATCCAGCATTGTTAAAACTTATGGTTGTGCCATCTATTCTTTTATTCATCACTTCTCATATGAGTGATCATATGAATGTGTACTCAAACTGTGTCACAAAACATTCCAAGGAAATGTCAGAGGAGGAAATATGGAAAAAATATTATTCTGTGTACCGAGGCCCTGTCACAAATGTATCATCTGGATGGCTTTTAGACCATTGTTTTGATGTTAATGGAGCATTATGTAATCCCATGGCACAATGCTTGAAGAAAATAATGTACATGTGCTTTATGAGAGATGCAAAGAAAGTTGTGCTGAAACTGTTGGAACATCAGTGCTCTCACTAATGCTCAGAACCCATATTTGTATTATTTTATAACAGTTTTATATATGGTGCCCTAGGCCAGGCTGATGGGAATCCTGATGTAGGTTTCGGGCCTCTGGGTTTTGTTGGGCTGACTTTAAGATGTGACAGTTCTTATCATGTTTTGGAATGAATATTTGTTAAATTCAGTTACTAATAGTAGTTACTTCTGCAGATCACGAAAGACTTCATACAGTTGTTAAGGGGAGTGGGTTCTTTTTGACGATTATTTAAAATTGCACACCTTTTTTGGTGACTAATTTTTTGACTGCTGCTATCAGCAAAACATAGCTTTTGAACACTGAAGAGTTGACTAACACTATCTTCCTATTTCCTTCACTTGCTTCCACCCCTCAAAAAGCATCATATAGATTCCCACTTCCGTACTCTGCCTCTTCTCGCCATATATTTTGTTTCTGTAATAGAATCATAGAATTATAGAATAGTTAGGGTTGGAAAGGACCTTAAGATCACCAAGTTCCAACTGCCCTGCCATGGGCAGAGACACCTTACATTAAATCGTGTCACCCAAGGCTCTGTCCAACCTGGCCTTGAACACTGACGGGGATGGAGCATTCACAACTTCCCTGGGCAACCCATTCCAGTGCCTCACCACCCTCACAGTAAAGAATTTCTTCCTTATATCCAATCTAAACTTCCCCTGTTTAAGTTTTAACCCATCAATTGATGGCTTGGCTTCACAAGCGAAGATTTGGGAAGGGCTTTAACCACACTACAAGCACGATGACGAAGGGCACGTGGGGTATGCAATTCTGGTTGGAAAATAAAGGCTGCTTAGGCAATCAGGAAGTGTCCAACCAGGACTGTCATCTCCTGAGTGATCTCGAGCTACCCATGCGCTGAACCGCCTGCATGCAAGGTGGATCTGCAGCTTCCCACGCACCTTGTCACCTACCGTTTCGACCCTCACCCGTCCATACAGACAAGTGAGAGTGAGCCCTTCCAGCCTGCACAGTGAAATTTTTAGGTGAGGGCAGCTTGTGCAGAACTGGTCCCACCCTTTACACCTGAGGTTTAACTGCCATGGCCTAGCTAGCTAGGATGGTGACAGCAAAGTCCTCAGGTCGTAGGTTTTGAGTTTTAACCATTACCCCTTGTCCTGTCACTACAGTCCCTAATGAAGAGTCCCTCCCCAGCATCCCTATAGGCCCCCTTCAGATACTGGAAGGCTGCTATGAGGTCTCCACCCAGCCTTCTCTTCTCAGGCTGAACAGCCCCAACTTTCTCAGCCGGTCTTCATACGGGAGGTGCTCCAGCCCCCCTTTATGCTTATCCTTTATGTTTATTCTGAAATGTGCCTGTGAAGGAGGTAAAGGGGAAACAAAGACTTTTGTCAGGCCGTGAAAGGCATGAACTCACCGAGGCACTAAGGCCTGATGTATATTGCTAAAGCTGGCAAACACAGGAAATGCTTAGAGGCATCTGAAAAAATCTGAATTATGCTTTCTGAAGTGCATCTAACACAGTGACTGACATCTGTCTAGATTTTAAAGCTGGGCTAATCGGGTTTTTTCCAACTTTCATTACTCGTGATATTTTAATTCTAATTAAGTTAATTTATTTTTTTTTTTTTTCCTCTCCCAAGCTTTAATGATATAACTGTCTCTCTACCCTTGCTTGCAACTGTTTTCAAACCCTTTTGTGGAAAGGTTCTTAGAATTATAACAGTCTGTCTTTAGACTCTTCCCAGATTGCTGAGTTCTGGACTCAAACTCTTTTATAGTAGAACTGCTGGATACAAAGATGAGGAGTAAGCTGAGAAAATCATGGCATCTGATTTCCTGGCTTGGCTTTTAATTATAAATAGATGCTGAACCAAGGATATGGCTGAGATTTGAAGTGTAATAACTTATCTTTTTGGTTTTCTTTAAAAAGGGTTGTTGAAAGGGCATTCAGAGTCCCGGGCTTAACTCTTTCTATCTCTTTTCTGCCAGGGCATCATCAAAAATCTGTTAAAATGATGGGAATATCTTCTTTGTTAGAATTCATTCAGGTCATAAATTGTCCTATTCAATTCTGTGTAATGGCTGTGTTAGTAATTTGTAGAGTCTACAAAGTTTTGACCAGTATCTTGTACTGTACCTTTAGAAACCTGGGCTCTGCAAGTCACCTTTAACAACACAGTTTCCTCCCTATTGCATCCAAACATTGAAACATGTTTGATGGTTTCTTCTTCTATGTCTGCAGACCATTATTCATTTTGTTATTTCCACTAGCTTGCTTTTATTAGTGTCATTAATAAAGCTTCCTGCAAGGGAAATTAAATTTAAAAAATTAAAGGCTGCTGTTCTTTGGAAGTAGTGGTTTCCAAAGCATCTCCAATAAGAAAGATTAAAAATTAGCTGTTTGTATAGCATTAACATGCGGGGGGGGGGGGGGGAAGTAATATATCTTATTAAAAACAGCTTTGTTAAAATGGAATTGTTGCTCTTTTCCTCAGCTTGAATGGGGAGCTTGTATTGGCTTTGGTATTTTCTGTGTAACCTTCAGGACTTTTTCTATGCAAAATGGCATTAAAGTGGTATTTTAAAATGGTCTGGTTTTAAAGGGAATTTGGTGATGTCTAAGTTGCATTATTATAGTGGTTGAGCTATTGTTTAGTGATATGATTAATTAATCTCTCATTTTCTTGCTTATTTTAGCAGCTGAAGGTTCCAAGATACAAGACAAGAAAGGCACTTCAGGACAAAGCAACGCCGGAGCTAAATCAGGTACACCATTGCACATGCTTTGCTTCATAATGCTGTCTGCCTCAATGGTGTATGAAAATCAGCTGTTGTCTTAGGAACTTTTAAAATGCTTGATGCTCTTATACCTCTCTTACTGTTTCAGTCAAAACTGGTATCATTGATTGTATTCAGTTAGGCTGGAATTTCTGATTTTTTGCAAAGGAGCAAAACTGGAAAAAAAACCCAGACTTTTGCTACAGCTTAGGAATGAGGGTTGGGAAGAGAGATAAGGCAAGAGAAGCCACTATACCTGCATCTGTGCTTGCATGAAGATTATCTGTTGTAGGCAAAGATTTTCATCTTTTATCTAAATGTGCTTCTGTTCAGACATTTCTTCATTTACCACAAAGCATGCCATATTCTGTAGTACACTCTATGCAGTAGGCAGATGTTTGTCATTGCTTCACCATACCTGATTAGTACACTGTGTGGATTTAATTCACTCACACAATCGGAAGTCTACATACTAAAATGTTTAATGTAGTCCTTAATGCTTAAGGTAGCATTAAGTTAGAGAGATTAGATATCTAAATTCTGCCTGTATTGCAATTCAGGTATGCAAGTTTAAAACATGCAGTTAATAATGATCTTGTTTAGGTGCCTGAAATAGCATAGGTACTTGTGTTGCTGAGTATGAGGCACACTGTAAGCACTCCTTTCTCAACTCCTTGACAGCTTGGCAGCTCAGTGGCTGTTTTGTATTGACAGACTCTTCTCTGTCCCCAAACTGAATACTTCAGCCCATGTCCCCAGAGGGAAGCAATCCCAGTGCTGTGTCCATATCTCATCTCATCCCTGTCAGGCAGTGCTGGGTCCAGCACAAAGCACCACATTCACAGCTGTTCTCAATCAGAAAGGCAATGGGGGGGGAAAAAAAAAAGAGAATGAAGGTAACAATACCTGCTTCCATGGCAAGCCAGAACTCTTGGTGATGGACAGTGTTCAGCATCCACTTTATCCTGCAGTAGTTTAATCCCAGTTTTCAGTTCTCAGGAAAGTGTCCTGTGCTCCCTTCTTCTGTGCTTGTGTATAGAAAGGAATACAAAATTCCTTGGGTTGTCGAGAGGGAAGGCACAGGCATGTGTGCAGGTTTTAGCTCTGCACACAGCTGGTGAGAGTCTCTGCTGAAGAGAGAGCTTCTCAAAGCTGGTGGTTTGTTGGTTGGTTGGTTGGGTTTTGTTGTTTGTTTTTCTTTAGACTGCACATGAATTTCTTGTCAAATGGTTTTGGTTAAAAACCAAACTAAAGAGTTTGCAGCAGAAGGGACAGCTGTCACTATAAACATCGTCGTTATTCTCTGGAAAGTGTCTACAGGCTGAACAAATATTATGAGTCCAAGGCAACTCTGCATATATGCATGGGCGTACAAAGGGAGCTGGACAAATGGAAGACAGTTTGCGATCCAGGCAATGCATCTTTTCAAACAGGGTTGGTTTACCTTTCTTTTTCCCTGAGCCACCCCTGTGAACTAATGTACAAACGAGCTGTTGTTTTTCCACCTGATATCCCTTTCAGTTTCTTCAGCATCAGAAATTAGCAACCTAGGGGTTGAGGGCAGAAGGGCATTTGTGAAAAGAGATTGAGAGGATTATAGATGGAAATGAAGAATAGTAGTAGTCTGACTTTTGAAGTCACACTGAGTGCAGATGGTAGGTGCCTGAGCCACAGAAACTGGCCATATGTAGTAAGTACCTATGTTAGTTACTAATTTAGCAAAATTAGAACCTAATTTCTAGAAACGTCAACTGTGCTTAAGAGTTCATTGAGTACTAATTATATAGAAGATTTGAAAAATTTGCATATTCCTGTTTTTTTGGAGGTTTTTTTTTTTTAGTATAATAAGGGACAAAAAATGACTGATATTTCAGTGCTGAATTTCTGCAAAATACTGTTCATGACCTCTAAGCTCTTTTTTATGAACTAGTAATTTATTTTAAATTATTTTGGACTCACAGTAAGTATTATAAGTTTATGGAAAAATACAGGTTTAATTTCCAGAAGTAGGTACAAAATTAATTACCCTTCTATAGAACTAATATGGCTTATTTAACTGCCAAACATAATAAGCATAAAATTAAACATTATATTATGTTATGCTTAGCAAGCTGTTTCACTACAATGACATGAGTTCACATGCATTGCATGGTAACCAGACTGAAACTTCTACAACAGCATGTGGGTCTTTTGAAGTGTTCTCTGTAAGGCTTTGCATATGCCCAGTTATCAATTATTTCTATAAGAATTGAGGAATTCTTGCAGGATTTGTTGCAAATGGTGTGTTGTGACTCATAGCTATAGCCCAATGACAAATGTGAGCAAGATGAGTACAAAGTACCTTCCTTGTGTGTTTGTCCTTCTATTCCTACAGAATAATAAGAAATACCAGTCCCCCAGGTGTTTGGTGGATTGTTAATGAGAGAGACATGAGAAATAAAATAGGGAGCTGGCCTATTGAACTCTTGGTTTGCCGCAGCTTGAAGTTCCTGAAGCTATATACTGGAGGCATCTATAATCAGGGGAATTCAGAATGCAGGTGTTGGACCTTGGGCTTGTAGCCAGACTTTGAAGTATCATTTTCAAGGCTTAGAAAAGACATTTTAATTAACGGTAAGATTTGCACCAGTGATGCGTGCAAGTAGTGTCCTAGTAGAGCAAAGGCAATGCTGGTCTGCTACAAAGGTGTTATCCCCATCCTTGTGCTAATACTGATTTAGCTCTTTGTGATTCCACATATATGCAAAATAGCTCATTACTGAAGACATCTTCTTACACTCTGCGTAGTCTGCAAGTTACTGTGAATTCTTTAGGACTATTCTAACATCTTGGGGGCCTGGGAGAGGGGCTCTGTGTGTGTGTGTGAACACTGTCAGGTGTGTGATATAGAAAAAAATAATTGGATATCTTCAAACATGGCAGAATGCAGAATGGCAGAGGGCAGCTTTAAAAAATTTATTTTATTCATTCCATTGCTTATAATTAGGAATTCTTAAGGGATACCTTTTCGATTTGCCTGTCCATGTAACCTTCCTGCCTCTTTGAAGAATTGCTGCTTCTCCCCAGTAGGGAAATCTCTCCTCTCAAGAAAGAGAAAAAAAAAAAAACTGGGAGGAGAATAGTGCATTTTAAAAGAAGCAGGATTTTATGTTATTCCCCAGTGTCTCATCATTCTCTGTCAACTCAATGTTACAGTCAGTGTTACAAAGTCAATGTTACATTGACTTTGCTGACAGCCCCTGAAGGGAATCCTTGTTTTCTAGGGGAATTCATATTAGATGTGAATATTTCCAATAGCAGTAATTACTCATGCCACAGAAATTCATGTTTTATGAATCTTATGTGCCAACCATAAGAGAGAAAGAATATTATTACCCTTTTGACCTGTGTCTGCATGCTGAAGTGACTGCACTCGAGTCAGCACACTTCTTAGCATCAGCCAAATGTTAATCTGTACCATACAATGGACAAATCTATGCAATGATATGACTAGGCATAGTTTCATAAATGACAGCACTGTGTGCTATTCAACCAACATTAAGGGTTTGATCTGTAATTGGATGATGGATTTCATTTGTCTTTGCTGGTGACTAGTTCTCCCGTTGCATCTTTCTTTGGGACTATCATGTTCAAATGTTCTACTAACTATGCAATGAGGTTTCTCCTTGCCACTCTTACTTTGCATTGCTGTTAACAACATTAATTGGGGCTGTAGTCTCTGACCATTGTTGATGATAGTTCTTCACTGACTAGAGTTCAAGACTAGCTAAACTAAACCTAGTCATCCGTGAACTTGTGCATCCTAGAAATCCTGTCATCTTGACGCAGGAACTTCTGTTAGATTATGAAATGCACATTACTGAATTTTGTCTAACTTAAATAACTTCAAAATCTGCCTAGCACATCCTGACTTCGGGAATTTATTTTTGTAAATATCTTTAACTTAATTTTTATGCCCCACTGTATTGTTTTGCTAGTAACTTTTTTCATAGGTACGTGGTCCAGACACACATCGGCTGACTTTACATGTTTTTACAAATTGCTTACTTGTGTATTAGCACTGAATTGTGACAAAGATCTGTTCTCTTGTTTTTATGTGCATTTCCATGGTGACAGTATTCTAGGTAGTTCTTCATCTTAAAATACTTAAAAGCTGAGTTCCCCTCAATATGAGAATAAATCTTGTCATTTCTTTATGCCCATAAATATTTCTGATTTTTTCTGTGTGTTTTTTTTGTTTACTTGTATTTTTATTCAAAGCAAACATTTTAAGTACTAGTGAAAAAAGTTTAAAATTAGCAGCTTTCCAGGTTTAACAGGACAGGCTAAGGATAAATAGGAAATTAGTTTTGGCAGCATGCTGAGATGAGTAAGTATATTGGATTTTGTTCCCTTGTTGCTTGGACCAGCTCCGCTCTGAGGCTGGAAGCAGGATGCTAGCTCATCAGCGTTTTGTTGTCTTCCAGAGAACTCACTGAGCAAGCGGTGGTTTTCCAACCAAGACTGGTCTTTTACAGCCAAGCCTGGGCTCTGGCACAATTTTTTTTTTGTTTGTTTTTTCATATTATCCTTAGTCTTATCGCTGTGATGCAAGTGGCCAGTTACAGGTATTTTTAAGGGAATAGTGTAGCTAACTTTCAGTCTACAAAGGATAGTTGAGGAAACTGTCATCTTTCTTTATTGGAATTATACTGGCCCATGCATGTCTTAAGGTTTTTGCCAGAGCTTTTAATTCATATAAATGCAAACATCTGTGGAGATCAGTATCTTGCTCTTTTCAGCAGCTCAGCTGGAACTTCTACAGTGTTTCGATCCAACCTCTTTTGCTTAAGTATTGAGCTTCTTCAGGCTTGTGAAATAGGGCTTAGTGGGTTTTCAAGGCAATATGGTTGGGAAGAGGGTGCTGCATTATAATAGAATTTCCTGTGGAAGTGTTTTGGAGAGAGATTGTAGAGTAATAGACAGTATTTTCAGATACAGTAGTTTCAGAATGCTCTCAAGCTGCCAAAGTGTTACGGGCTTGGAAACAAACCAAAACTTTTTTCCTGGGCTTTCAAAGGCAATAGTCTTGAAAGGAATTCAGAGTTACCCCTTAATTCATTTTTTGGGAGCATTTTATGTCCTGATAATTAGAATGCACTCACATTTTTTAATACTTTTTTTATAAGATGGATTTATGAAAATAATCTACTTTGAAAGCAGAATAACTACAGTTGTTTCATGGTCACTTCCTTAAAAACTTTTTCATGGTATTATTTGATTTTATGCTATATGCCTAATATTTTCCCCCTCCCTCCATTTGTAGATCATCCAACAATACTAAAGGTTGATGACAGGCAGCGGCTTGCTAGAGAACGGAGAGAAGAACGAGAAAAACAGCTAGGTAAGGCCTACTGTGTTGGGTTTTATATTGTTTGAGTTTTTTAATGGACTATCATTTGCATGAAATTTTTTTTTTCCAGTTTACTTTTAAGAGCATTCAGCAAACTGATAGTGCTAGATATGCAATAATGTCATTCTAGACACACTGTTGTATCTTTAAAGTAGATCTTTTTTAATTCATACACATCTTGGGATTCATCGTTGCTATACCTGTCACATTCCTATTACTTTTGTGAATCTGAATGAAAAGTCGACTGATTTCTGAAATAATGCAAGGAAGTGTCATTGTTGAAGATGGAAGTTTGAAGTTTTAGAATATTTGACAATTAAAATTAGACTACTTAATATGCTGAATGCATCCTGTATTGCCATACAATAGAATTGCAGAACATGTTGCCAATGTATGGTTTGAATATTTCTATATAAGCTTGTTTTTTTACTAAAGGTAAAACCTTTAGTAGGTGTCAAATAGTTGTGCTCAGTATCTTGCTACTGGCGCAGAAGCACCTATGACAGGTGTTCAAGTGAATAGTGAAGGTTACATAACAAGTGACTAGTGATGGGCAATATGCTGAGTGTGGTGGTGGGAGAACTATAGAATTATGTGAAGCAAAATTGTTGGCTTTCTGAAAAGAATGTTTGGCTGCAAAAACAGTCTGTGGCAAAGTATTTCCTTTTTTTTTTTTTTTAACACATTCACTCTAATTTGTTTGCATGTTGTGTTGTTCTTATGGCTTGAGAAACAGAGGTTCTTTATTTCCATTTTATAGCTTCTGTAAGTTTATAGAACTAATTCATAACTCCAGTCAGAGTTATACTGCTTTTTGTAACCTGGAGAGCCATGATTTATTGCCATCTAGTTTTAACAGCATTGATATCCAGCACCTTATAACATTGTACTAACCGTGCGTGAATCACTAAGGCTGTTTTGGAGGAGTAAAGGAAATAGCTGGTCTTCAGTTGCTCAAGGGGATAACGTGCCCTTGATATTTGCCAATCCCTAAAAAGCTGCTCCTGGAGTTGAGGCTAATGGTATGTGTGAGCTTAGTTTCTTCAAGTTCCATGGCAATTACTGGCTCATTCTGATTAGCTTGTCATAGGTGATGTTTCCATGTCTTGAAATTATTTTTTCAGGTTCAATCCTTGTGTAGTAACAATGCCTTACTCAAGTGCAGGGAGGGATACTTTCCTTAAGTTTTTCTGAATTCTAATTATTCTACCTGTTGATAAATGAACAGCATTTCTCAACTTATGTTGAGAAACATGTCATTTTGTGTGATGTTTTAAAAGGGCTTTTTTAACTTGACATAGAATGCTTCGTTCTGAAATGGGAGAGTTCTGCGTGTCCCCATGATTTACCAGTGTATTGTGTGCTCTTGCATGAAGAATTATTTTGAACTAACAAGAAAATTGAAAGCCCCATTGTACTTTCATCTATGTATTTCTCTGCTAACATTATGATTTAGGAGCTGTTTCCTGAGATTTTTTTGTTCCAGTACAGCAAAGCAATGATTTTTGCAATGGCACGCAAGCTTCATTTTTTTTTTTCAGTGTAGAATATAGATAATTAGTCACTCATGTCATGTGAACGGTAGCAAAAAAAAATGCCTCAGCTGCCTGTCTTAAACATCAAGTTGTATAATGTTGTTACATAAATGTGCCTTGCTGAAAATTAGAGTTGGATTTTGTTAATACAGGGACATCAGCTGTGCAACAGTAAAGCAACTGAAGGAAGGGGTTTTTCCTTTTTTTCTTTTCTTTTTTTTTATATAGAACTGAGTTGGATTTAAACTTAATTCCTCTCCTTTTGATTCAGGGGATATGTCAAGTTTAGCAAAGGCTCCTTTTTAAGCAGGAGTTGAGAATTTCAGACATACCTCAAGTGAAATTATTCTCCCTTTCTCCCCCTAACAAAGACAGTGTTCAGTTCTGTGAGTGTAGAGTTGGCAGTAATCTTTAACAATTCTTTGTACTTTCAGCAACTTGAACCACATGAGGTCATGTTAGCCATCTTTTAATGAAAATTAAGTTGTTCAACCCTTCCGTTGAGATCATGTGGACTACCAGTTGAATAGCAATTGTTTATTGGTCAATATTTCTGATGTTATGGGAGGGTAAATTTGAGACCTGTTTTCCCTCTGCCCCCCATTTTGTTTACTCTTAAGCTTTATTTTTTTTAAAGTTCCACTGTGCTATGATAGATGTGCTTGCACTGTGGTATAATGGGTCAGTGCATGCTCTGTACTCTTGAGGATTTGCTTGCACCTGGCAGTGGTATTCTAGTGGTCTTATTCTACTTAACCACACTTGGGTGTTTAGTTCTTTTTAATGAGAGTTTAGAGAGTAGGAAAGATGAGTGCTGTCATTTTGGTTGTCTGGATACATATAGCATATGTGTAGTGGGACTGTCAATGTCTGTGTTTCTTGAGGATCATGTTACGCTATCTAATTGAAAAGAATTGAAAAGAATGATTGAAAAGGCTTCTACAAAAGTTTTGGAACTTTCTCTACAAAATGTAGAAAGCACACAGGGATGTGTATGCTATTTCAGCTAATCACCCCATCAAGAAAAGAGAGCTTTTTAGCTCCTTCTCTGTAGAAAAGGCATTATTTTTGAAACGCCCTCCCAGCACTTCTGGAAGATTAATTCTTTGTTTTTTTTTCCTGTGCAATTCATGTTTTCCGTAACTAAGAAGTTGTATCAATTTGGGAGTTTTACCTTTTATAATTAGACTTGCCTTTTCACATGGGCAGAAATGAAGGAATTGCTTATCAGCTATGCTTTAAGTTTCTTATTCCCTTGATCATTTGGTAATGTGTGTTTTACTTGTTGAAATGTGCATTCAGACCTTTAAAGGATTATTAGGGTAATCTTAATAATGTTTCCAGTGTGTCACTTGCTCTTTAGCAGTCATGTTTTCATTTTGTACTCTCTGTGCTAGCACTCCTTCCCACAGTGTCTGCATGTAGTTAACGTCTGTCCTTTAAAATATGAGTATCAGATCTCTCTGTGTGACAGCAACCCTCTTGGGTTTTGCAAGAGAGGAATCCCAGGAAAGGCAGCAGTAGGTGAGGGTGGTAGCTGTTAAACAGGGCTATTCTTGGAGGACAAAGTGAATGGAGCTGTCACAGTTTACCTGGCTCAGCTTGGCACTATGGCTCCTTTGCATGTTTCAGGCTGGGTGGTTGTGTTTGGCACTGGAGACACATGTCAGAACTGAGTAGTTTGTGAAGGCAAGCATAGTAAATGGCCTGGTCAAACTGAGAAAGTTTAATAAAAGCTACTGCTTGATCAGTAGTGGGGCTTCACACTTGATTCTGCTATATTGGTTTTATCAGTACTGTCAAACAGTGCTAAGAACATTCCGTGGTGCTGAAACTCAATTGTTCTTGCTATTAAACTGTTCTGATGGATCCTGGCAGGGAATTGGCTTCAGCTAACTTGCTGTCTCTTTGCTGATTCCCAGACAAGGTTTGGGAATTGGCAAGGGAAATCCACAGGCTTTTCCTCATGTGTTGGTTGACTACTGTCATCGTTTTGGAGGGTAGAAGTTTAGTAGCACAGGTGAAGGTTGTTCTATGCCATTTATCTCATTTGGCCATGTTCCATCTATTAGCATAGACCTGGTTCTCTGTTACTGCAAGGAAAAACCAAAATGTGTTTTTCAACAGGGAAAGTTACTGGGATTTTAAAAGGGGTTTTATTCTGGGAGTCTTAGGTAGCAGCCTAGCAAAGAGAAAGAGTTGGGGATTGGGGATTTCTTGGTTTTACTTCACAGTATCTCAGTCCCTGATTCTTGAGAAAACCAAAACCAGTATTATATCTGTGCAGGCTTTATGTACACTAATCGTGCTTGAAGAGTGACCTTTTTTATCACCATTATGATCCTGACAAGGACACATGCCTCATTTAGTTTATGGCATTGGGGACAAAAGATGGTAATCCTGCCATCTGACTTAACTCTTTATTTAAGTAAATGTATTATCAATCCTAGTTTTTAAAATATGTCAGAGTTTCAGGTTGGCTAGCTCCATTAAATTCTTAATACAATGCATAAGCATTAAAATAATATTTCAACATTATGATACATATTCCTCTCCCATTTGAAAGTGATCATTAATAAAACATCACATATTTCCTGTCAGTGAATTCCTTCTGGCTTATTTGGGACAAAACTTTATCTATCTAACATTTCCACGGTCAGAAGCTGTGAATCAGTGACCGTAGTATATGAATTATTTTGGGATGTCCTCAGAGGACTTGAGTGTCAGAAGGGTTTATATGACAAGAAAACAATTTTCAAGGAAGATTATTTTAACAAATTCTATGCTGAATGTCCCTCAGAGCATGGTTACTGGGGAAGGGTTGGCTTAGAGAATGTAACATTAACTTCAGCTTTAATTACAGCTCTGAAGTTCACCTTCTAATTCATTCAGTCAGCCATTGCTGTGGAACATCCCCACTTCTAGGTATGGTTAAAGCATCACTGATCCGTCTTTCTGCTAATGCAGCAAGGAGACAATCACAGTCTCAGACAGTGCAGAGCTGGCAGTGAGGAAAGGTGAAACAACAGTCAGAGGAGAAAGGTATTGCTGAGGTCAGTGCTGTAAAGTCAGAAAAGATAAAAGCTGCAAAGATTGACAGCGACTATAGGATCTTTATTCAGGTAAGCTGTCCGTCCAAGGTGGATGCAAAAGGCAGACTGAGAAAGCATGGTGGTAGACTCGTCTGCCTTCATATAGGCAATAAACCGGAAGAGGAAGAACTAAAGTGAAGAGACAGCAGAAGGGATGGCAAAAGAGGAGGTGAAGGGAAACATCCCTTGCTTCACATAGATAAATAGAAAATAGAAGCTTTGACACTTAATGCATGCTCCCTCTTCCCTCATAGCCTAAAACCCCTGCAAAGAATGGTGCTCTGTGTGTGTGTGCATGATTAGAGAAAGGAACTACAAAATTATTTCCACAAAAGAAATGTGCATGATATTTAGGTCATATCTCCCACATTAAATGAGTTAATTCTAGTGTAAAGTTGCTTGTTTTCAAGTTTTACGTGTCTCTTAATATTGGAATGTTTCTTTCTTGATTGACCTCGTTTTCTTTTGCTCCATTATTCACTTCAGCGGTGTCAGAAATACAGTCTTAATTATGTTGCTTTTTAATCTAATCCAGCATTACTAGCTTGCAAATAAGTGGAAGGTATTAATTTTGGTTTTATGCTCTAATTTTATGTCCTTACATCACTTGATTGTGTTCAAATTTATAGATCATACTAAGTAATGAAAGAGAACAAGCATCAAGCTGTGAATTTTCTTTGTATTTTCCAGCTTTAGTGTAAATGTTCCTATGCCATTTAAACTTTCAACATGGGGGTGCTATTGGAACCACAACCAAGCTTTCTTTGAATGATTCGTGCATTTTGTCAGACAATTTATATTATTTCAAGGGAGAGAAGTATCACAAAGTTGTTAAGGCTCAGCCCCAAGAGAAAGCATTTTATTGGACCATACCTGTACTGGCACCCAACATTGGCTCAGCACCAGGTATAGATATTACCATAGCTTCTGGAGGAGCCATCATAAAACTCGGTATTTTCCCCTTGCGCATCCTGCAAATTGCTTGCTCCTTCAAGCTGACTGGACTTCTTAGAAGAATCTTTGGTCTCCTGTAGGCTTATCTGCTGATTCCTTCTATCAGCAAAGCATTTGATGTATGTGTTGCTCTTAATACAGCTTGCTGTGCTTCTAGAAGCACACCTGTGTATTCAGAATAAGGCTTAATTTCCCTAATTTTTACTTTAGAGTAGGCTTTTTTAACCCTTGAGTGAACTTTAGGTTTTTTACCCTAGGATGCAATTTGTTAATTTGTCAAGTGTGGCAGGAAGAAAAGTTTCTGCAAAAGCATAAATAGGGACATGAGAATGAAATAAAAATGGTATTTAGGCATTTTTATTTTTCTTGATGATATCATATATCAAGGACACTAGCTTATTTCATTGTATATACCTACCTTGTAGATGGCAAAGCTGAGCCCTTAAGTTTGTGCAAGAATGTCAGTAGTGCATATAGAAAGCAGTGAAAACAAAGCAGATATTCTCCATTGATACTTTAATAAAAGAAAATATAGGAAGTAATCCTTGAAAAAAAAAATTGGAAACAGGAAAGATTATTTCCTTATCTGTGGAAAAAGGTAAATTAATGAAAATATATATTATACTTTTTCTCAGAAAACATATGTTTCATAAATCATGTTTTTATGTAGTTATTAAATACTTGGTCCAAGCATAAAATTAATAGCTTCCTCATGTTAGCAGATGGGTGGATATTTTCTATTGTTTTTGCCCGTAACTTAAAGATGATAGAGAGAGGTAACTTTTATATTTGTTTGAAGTCAGATCTGTTTCTTTAGTTATAATTTATTCCAGTTAGCACTTCTGTTTGCCTCGGTTAATCCATCACTAATGTGTGTTTCTGTTACTGAGATGTCTTCCCTTATCACACATGTATGATTTTATAATCTCTCCTTTGAGGAGCAGAAAGCTCAATATTAGTGCTCTGTCTAGAGGTTTAGCACTTCCCAGAAGTGAGAGTGTATGTGAAAGTTAACTCTTTAACATACCAAAACATTTAAATGTTTTCATCTTCTCTTCCTGAATTTAGTCATGATTTTTCAAATGTACTATTTTCATTACTTTTTTTTTAAACATGACAGGCTGAAACCTATGGAAATCAACACAAATAACACCCCAAGAATGTGTAACTGTTTACATTAATGACAGATCAATCTCCATGTCTTTTATAAGCAAATTAATATTCACATTAGCTAAAGTTACTGTGTTTTGATTCTTTGATTTTCATCATTTCTTGTGTCCTTTAAGAGAGCTTTATTTTCAGTAGAGAACCAAAGCACTTTTTCATGCTGGCTTGCCGTTGTAAGCTGATTCCAGACACAAAAGATCGAGTTGATCTCAGGATCTGCAAAAGTCTTTTGGCTCACAGTAATGGCTTGTCTCAATATAATCATTAGAGACCATAAACGTGCTGCAGCTCAATGGACTTTCTTTAAATATGTGCTACTGAATTCATTCGGTGCTCTTAGCTTCTTCAAAGTGAATGTATGTTTGAAAAGTTCTGCAGAATGCTATGATTAAATACCAGTTTTGAACTGCTTGGGTTACTTAGTATATTCACAGACTATTATGTATTAAAGAGAACAGAGTGGGTGCGCCGTTGCTTGGTGTTTGGTTTTCTTTAAAAGTTATGTCTGTATATATCTGTGCAATGCTGTCTGTAAAAGTGAAACAAACCCTCTAAACATTTCTCTATCGGAGTTGAAACGTAACAGTAGACTGAAATAGGAAACAACTGTGAAGATGAAAACTAGTAGGAAAAGCTGCGCAGGAAGTTAATTGTACAGAAAGTACAAAAGGAAAGAGTAATACCATACCCTCCAGGAATGGCATTTAATAGTTATTTAATGTTACTGCAGTCTAGCACTAATGAATTATTTGAGGAAAAAGAAGAGAAAAACCTAATGCTGAATTGGGAAAAATGATTAACAGGATTGGGTTGTTCACAGTATATTATTAGGTAAGTTCTGTTCAGATTTGGTGTTCTGAAGTAAAATATTTTACCTGTTCAGACCCATAGCCTCAAGCTCTGAGTGTCTGTTCCTTTCCTTTTGTGTCCTCATGAATAGTAAGCATGATTTCCCAGCTGTTAGTTTGGCTAACAGTCCAGGTGCTGGAATTGACATTACGGACACTTCTGTCATAAGAGGTCTGTATTGATCAGTAAAGGTGGTGATTAGTTTTATCTTTCTGTTTATTAGCTTTCTTTTTACGGTAAAAGATTATGGCAAATTAGCATGGTTTGTACAACAGAAGTGTGTTTACATACATCTGACTTATGCATTTAGGTATTTTAAACTAACGAAAAATCCTTTTTTTTGGATAGAAACTATATGCTCAACTAATTTAACTATTTCTGGTGGTAATTCATAGTAAGTAAATTCAGATTAAATGAATGTGTGAGGAGGGTACACAATGTTTTAATACATGAGGAGAGATGGGATATTACCCATGTTGTCTAAAGAAAAGTAGTTCAAAAGTCTTTTCATTTAGCTTCATTATTCAGGTAATATTAATGACTTCATCATATATAGCATGTAAATTTTTTTATTTCTGATTTTTGTCACAGCTGCAAGAGAATCGGTCTGGTTAGAAAGAGAAGAGAGAGCCCGGCAACATTATGAAAAACACTTAGAGGAACGCAGAAAGAAGCTAGAAGAGCAAAGATTAAAGGAAGAGAGAAGGCGAGCTGCTGTAGAGGAAAAGCGAAGGCAGAGATTAGAAGAAGATAAGGTAAGAATGAATGTCATGAAAACTCTTTCACCATAAGATACAGTACTATTAAACTTTTTCTCTGAGAGTTGGTGGGAAGAATACAACATAAGCCATGGTCGTATAAGAGAGCATGCAAGAGGATTTTAAACCTTACTTGCACAGATACTGCTTCTTGAAGTGCCCTTTGTGAGTTGAAGGAAGCTAAGATGAGCATCTCTGAGTTACATTATATGGCATTGCACAAACTCATACAGATAAATTTAATTTTTTGTCAGTTCTGTATGGTTATCTGTTAATTCTTAGCCATTTAGTATAAAGGTAACTAAATATTAGTTGCCCTAACAAAACCTTTAGGAAAGTGAGTGTGTAATAAAATACGCTCATGACTGATTTGCCTCACTTAAGCTGGGAACTGCATGCAGTGTGATCCTACATAAGTCATCTTATCCCTGTGTTTTGTTTTGGGTTGTTGGTTTGTTGTTTTTGTTTGTTTGTTTGTTTGTTTCCTATCTCTGCCACTGTTCTAGTATTTAGTAGGTGGGAGATACAAGGTAAGAAGTGGCCCTAGAGCATGTTTGTGTAGTGACTGCCATAAAAAGGCCACTGTTTTCTCTCTGCAGTTCTGAAGGTTTCAACCAGATCTTCCAATTCCAAAGTTATGGTTAATGTTTTAACTTATGGCTTAATTGCTGCTTAATGCTGTTCCAGTGTGTGTCTTAGTAGGCAGCACATAAGCTTGAACACAAGTCCAAGCTGCCTGTGAGGTTTTGTCCATATTGAGGGTAGCGGGTTTGAAGAGAAGATTAAGTTAACAACGCAATAGTATCCAAATGTATTATCCTGTTGTACTTAAGGAACGACATGAAGCTGTTGTACGTCGCACAATTGAAAGAAGCCAGAAGCCAAAACAAAAGCAAAACAGGTGGTCCTGGGGAGGAGCACTACATAACCGCATTAATAACACAGGTAAAGAGGGAGGCCTGGTTTGCTAGCCAGTTTCCCTGCCCTGCCAGTTAACTGGAATTTACTCGCTTCTGTTAAAAGGAAGGAGGATTTGGTGTTTGCTGGTTTAAATTCTTTGCTCTTGATCATCATATTGCTAGCGATGGCATGTTTCTGGCATTCTTGTGTAGCAAAAAGGTAACAATGAGAAATCTGACCAAAAGTTGAAGGTTGTTTCAGGAGCTGACTAATTCTCTTACTCTGTCTTGCTACAGCTTCTCGCTTCTGCTGCTTTGGTGTTGTTTGTGTATGTGTGGGTGTGCTTGTGGTATGAGCTATTGTGTGCAAATGCTAAGTATCATGGCTCAAGAAATAGGTCTGGTGGAAATAAGCAAATACTAAGATTAAAACAGACACAAGGAAGAAAAATTATTCTTTGTAATAAGCTATCTGTATTTTGTACAGACATTCTGGGAGATAGAAATTCCTTTTGTCCCTAATAAAAACCTAAAAATGAGCAAATTAAGTGAATTTTAACTACATGCTTTTTGCCCCAGTTATCTTCTCTAACTCAATCTGCAAATCATGAAGGTGTGTATGCCCTGTTAAATATGACTTGAACCCAAAAAGAGAACTTGTCCTTTATTTCTTTCACCAGAAAATGGTACTTAGAATTCTTCTCCTCCTACTCTAATGTATACATTTCAAGGTGGCCAACCTTTCATCAAGGAGGGCAAAAAAAAGTTGAGGAAAGAATGCTCTGAAATCTGTCATATATAAGTTCAATAAACAGTTATTTCTCATTGAAGGTTACATTTTTTTGCTTAACTCTGTATGACTTACTTGATTATTTTCTTTTTTTCCCTTTACTGTGAAAAATCATTGTCTTGCATTTTGTCCCTAGGTTATTTTTTTGAATCATCATTCACCTTTCTCGATTTAGCAGGCCTGGAGCACCACTTCAGATCTCTGGGTGGTGCTAGAAAACCTGGTACATGATTGCTGTGGTTTGTTGATTCCTTTACCCATAGCTAGTTCTCAGGAAATGAGATCATCAGTAACTAAACCACCCTCATGTAGTTGCAATGCATGCTTTACCATCATGCTGATAGATTAGAACTGTTGTTAGTAGCAGATTTTCTCATTATTATTTGTTTTTACTATGGAGAGTTACTACTAGCTGACTCTAAAGATTTGGCACAATTCACTGAAGTGAAGCATAATATTCTGTCTTCTGGAATTCAAGGAGACACGATTTGAATCTTTTGGTCTATTCTAAAACCCTTTTGGCATTCTACATATACACAGGATTTAAAATTATTTTGCACGTGAACACAGACAAACAACCAGCTGCATTGGCTGATGTGTTCCTCATGGATTTTTTTATTCTTTTTTTTTAGAACAAAGAAACCAGCAATCTTCTAGGCAATGGATTGCATTTGCCCTGCTCTACTTTTAAAGTATTCATATTGCCAACATCTACACACAAATTCTCATGCTAAATTTCATTCATTTAGATAATGTTCATTGACACAAGAGAATTGTTTGCTTGCCAAAATACAGGAGGTGATTTTTTTTGTATTGTCGTTTTTCATCTTCAGAAAGCTGCTTTGTGCAGTATATCCTTTATGCCAAATGTAGAAACTTCTTGGCTGCACTGATATGCTATGCATTTTCTCAGCTATAGATTAGGTATAAGAGATCAAAATCTCCATCCTATTCCCACAGATATTGTTCTGACAAAGACCTGTGACATGTGGAGCCTCAATATCCCACCTCCAGTACTGACTTGCTCACAGTACTCACAATATACCATATAGATCATTGTGGGATATTGTTGCCAGCCTGCAGGGGCCTGTCTTAGCTATAACATTTAGATTTCTGCTTTTAAACCCCATTTCTGAGTTTTATCCCCCTTCCAGAACCCATTTTGGTGGTTCTATACACTGTGGAATTTTTTTGTACACTGTGGGTATACTTTAATCCACTAGGTCAGAACAGATAAATACAATGCTGTTGTACTTGTCATAGATAAACAATTGCATCTTGTCTGCAGTATCCACTTTAGATCCTACATGACCTCCTTGGATCGCATCCTGATTGAATGATAATCAATGAACAGAATATTTTAGATGTGAAATTTAAATGATTTTGTGCCCAGTCTTTGAGTCACCTGTACAATGTCTGCTGAGAAGTTCACTCTATTTTGAAAGTACTTGTGGTAGAGCAGGAATGACCTAGTCATGTTTTTCTCCTCCCATTAGTGAGTTAGGAACTTGCACTACTGCATGTGGGCTGTCAATTAGCATTATCTCCATTTGTTTTAGATCCAAACAGGCGGTCTCTTTCAACAATGAACCTTTCGAAACATGTTGATCCAGTCATTAACAAGCGGCTCTCCTCCTCATCTGCAACATTACTAAATTCTCCAGACAGAGGTACAGTTTTAAAGAAAAAAAAAAAAAAAAAAGGAAAGGAAGAAAGAATGTTCTATATTGATGTATCACTTTGCACAGAAACCAAGCTTCTGAAGTAATTTTCTGTACTTCATTTAAGTGGGAGTAAAAAGACTTTAAATGTGAAAAGTAAATGGTTGAATATCTTTTTCATATGAAAAGTAATATATATTTCTTGTTCTTTAAAACAAGAACTTACCTAAATAATCTTACTTTAGCAAATGATAAAAGCAGTGCTTCTGTCAGGTTTTTAGTAAATGAGGTACGACTATTGAAAGAATACATCGCTCCATAGTGCATGTAATCATGTGTGACCTTTATTTGCATTAGGCCATTTTGTCATGATTTTGTTTTCCTTTCTTCCTTGGTAGTAGTTCTTGAATATCTAAGAACACATTGCATGAAGCTTTCAAGCAGTTACTTTATTACCATTTCTGATTATTGAAGAGGCATGTGTGGTTTTCATATGGTCTGTTTATTGACTTTTTACATCATTACTCTTCAAAGATTATTTTATTTCAGTGTATGTTTCTGTTTACAAGTCTGCACAAATTATAAACCATCAAGCATTTGGAAATTAATGTATCTGAATTGCTACCTCTGTTCTGAGGATTTATGAGATTGAAAGACTGAGCTTAAAAGAGTTTTATGAAAGAATCTCTTGTACAATGTGTTCAAAGAGCTTTACAGAAAAGTGTTTGGTAGGGAGTTTTTGTCCTCTACAGAGAATGAGAAGTTCTGTTCCATTTCAATCCAGATAAATACGTTTTAAAAAAACAGTTCCTAGAATGGAATTTTAGTTGTGTTGCAAAACTGATTGGTATACATCATTATTTGTGTGCCTTAACTAAGGGTCATGTTTATGTGTATGTTTGTATGTGTGTATCTGGTTGATTTGATGAGCCATGTTAATCTGGTGGGCTAATCTAGTTGAAGAGTCTGGTAACTTGCAAAAAATACAGCATTACATTAGGAAATAATTTATTCCAAAACTCCAGTAATTTTTTTGCTCTAAGCTTTGAAATACAGTAATTTCAATTTCTACTAGCTTTTCGGGTGTATATAGTTTTTTGCAGATGGTTTCTGCAGGGGATGCTTCTTTAAGGCAAGATCTTAAGAGGGTGAAAGAACAGCAGCAGACACTAAATATGTAGTCTCTTGTGGACTGTAACTCATTGTGGCATACTTTCTGCCACCCATTCAAATTCAGGAGAAGCTAGACTGAATATTAGGCAGCGTAGCAGTGGGGAAAGGGAAGGAGCATGGAAGAAGCGATGGCCATATGTCAAAAACTTTAATTTTTTGCTTGGCATTTCTGTTAGAACAGCACAGAACTCTGAAGGAGTCCTTTATGTCTTTCAGAACTCCGAGACAGAAAGCAAATCCAAGCACTGTAAGTGCCTTCTTTCTTGTGTGAAGTCATATACCTAAATCTAGTTGAGCATGTATCTGGAGAAGTGCCAACGGTCTCTCCAGTGGCCTCAACATCTTAAGGCAAATGCTTAAAGGAAGGCTCTGTCTGCTCCCCGTTTCACCTTCCAGAGTGCACTCAACCATACTGTGAGTGTAATGCATGCTCCTACATGCGAAACTGTGAGCTGGAGATGAGGATGAGAAGCTTACCCTAAGTGGCTTAGAGCTTTCATGAAGAATGTCTTCTGTTAAGCAGCGCCTTTTTATGACTTGAAGGACAGGAATTATTTTTTATTTTTGCTCAGCAAAAGACTGAAGTTTTCATTAACTAATTGCCTAAAGAATGGTTAATTCCTTTTCAAATATGGTGTTGCTATATAGCTCTTTACCAGAATTTTACAATTGGGCAACTTCTCATCATGCTTTTATGTTAGCGGTACAGGTCTGAGTAGGTGAAACTGCAAGAAAACCTGAACACATGTATTCAGGTTGGTGACCGATATATTTTGGTGTCTGTGCTCTTTAAGGAGAGCTCAGCAAATGGGTAATATTTTAGATGAGGTATGAGTTACACACTTTCAGCTTCGAAAAGCAAAATTTGCACCACAGTTGTGTTCTTCCTCTTCTCTACTGTGCTATTCCTTTCAAATAGGTGAAGGTCTCAACCACTGCATCACCGTTGTTTGCCACCTTCATGGAAGAAATTCAGAGACTCCAGAATTGTTTTCTGTTGAAAGAGAATCTAAGCATAGAGTAGTTTTGCCCATCTACTTTTTTACCACCTTTGTGGCTCTGTATGAGCAAACACCACTGTTATCACTGGTCTCCCCTTTCGTGGTGCTCATCAGGAGGCCTGTTCAGTCCCTGTCCCCCATCTGTTTCTAGGATTAATCAGATGCTGCTGTTTGCTTACTTGCAATTTATTGTGCTGCTGCTGAGATAATTTTACAGTGTTCAGTTTATATATCCTGAAGACAAATATAGATGATTGTAATCAATTCACTGTTGCCAGCTCCCTGGGACTTTGTGTGTTTTTCAGTTACAAATTAAACTATAAAGATATTTAATCTGTTTAAACTAATCTGCTTGTAGCTGTGGCCAGGGGTACTTGCTTGCACCAGCAACCCTATTAACAAATGGGCTTCCTGCATGGAAACAAGGAGCAAGCAGCCCTGAGAGTGATAGCCTAACACAGCATGAGAATAAAAAATAGTTTCCCTTTGTCTGTCAGAGAGTGTGAAGAACTGAATCTTGAGAACACTGCCTCCACCACCCCCCCCCACCCCCACCCCCAAGGTATTAAAAACAAAAAAAACAAGAAAAAAGCCATCAACTGACTTCATTGCCTTAAAGTTGATCTTATTGTTTCAGGTGCTCTTTGGTTTGTATTCCATTTGCTTCAGTGTGAATTTGACACCAAATTGAAGTTGTTCAATGCACTGAGGTGTTAATACTCTTGTAACCCAGTGGGCAGAAGTTTGCCTGTTCTAGGCTAACGGTGATGCTGATGACTGGGAATATGTGTTTAAAATATCAAATATGATACTTCTAGGGAGCATCTGAAGTAGTCAGTATGTGATGACCTTGATCCACAAAGCTGAGGTGTATTTAAATGAACTCTGATCTAAACCAATTTAGGGCATCTAGGGAGATGGCTAAAAGTATTTTGACACCTGAATCAGGCCCATTGCTTATATGGAGAAGCGAGTTTTTGTTGGTCTCTCTTAGCTCACTGTTTGGTGCATATCAGGTAGCTCACTCCCAAACATTGCCTCAGTGCTGATAGTTCAATGCTGTGGGCGCACGATTGCTTCCAGTAGGTAATGTGGATATAAGCTCCTCTGTGTTAGGGACAAAGACAAGAGATTTAAACCATGCTTACTTCACTAACAAATGGGATAGGTGAGTGTCCTGGGTTCAGCAGTAGCAGTCATTTTTCCCCTTCTTGGTAGCTGGTGCAGTGCAGTGTTTTGACTTTCAGCTTGGGAACAGAGCTGATAGTGATGTTTAGGTTTGGCCAAGGACTTTGTGAGCCTCATGCTCTGTCAGGGGGGAGGGGAAGCCAGGAGGAAGCAGAGACGGGACACCTGACCCAAACTGACCAAAGAGGTATTCCATACCACAGCATGTCATGGCCAGGATGTAACTGGGAGTGAGCCGGAAGGGCTGGGAGACTGCAGGGTTGGAGGAGGTATCGGTCGGAGCTTGGTCGGGCTGGGGGGGCGAGTTATCGGTCGGCTGGTGGTGAGATGATGTATTCTCTTCCTTTGTTATTTCCTTTATCATTATTATTATTGGTGGTAGCAGTAGTGATCTGTGTTATACCTTAGCTACTAAACTGTTCTTATCTCAACCCGTGGGAGTTGCATTCTTTTCGATTCTCCTCTCCATCCCTCCGAGAGCAGGGGGAGGGCAAGAAAAGGGGGGGAAGTGAGCGAACGAGTTACCTGACTGGGTTTAAACCACGACAGTGAGACATGACAATTTAGTGTTCTAACTCATCAATCTCTTAGCTGTGTCCTCGTGAAACTACTTCATCTCTGGGGCCTCATATAGGGTCTGTACTGACCCACAGGGCCATATTGCATTGTGACATTTACTTATCAGCAGCTTGCATCTGTACAGATGAACTCCACAAAATTGATCGTATACATGGCACTGATTTATTGGCCTAAAATTTCAGGGACTGCTTTCTAAAGTTGTGTGATCTTTGTGTTAAACTACAATTGAAGAGTTTCTCCATACTCGTGCTTGTGAGCCTTGCCTAGTAAAGCCTGAGACCACAAAAAGGAATCTGTTGTCTTTTAACAGTAGTTTTAAATAGTGATCATACTGAGCATGGTGCCTGGAGAAGAAAGGAAGCAAAGATTTTGCCATTATTGCATCAGTTTAAGGGTAACTCTGTGATTCCCCCCCCCCCCCCCCCCCCGCTTCATTATTAAATTACAAGCTTTATGATAACATGTGAGCTGTAATAGAGGTCTCTGTAGGCTGTTTTGTGTGTCTGTAGAATCTGTACCAATGCAGAATGGAACTATTAATCACAAAGAGCTCTGGCAGCCGTACACTTTGTAAGGACACTTATCCAGAGAGCCTGCTGTCTTTGAGAGTCCTATATTTCTATAGTAATGCCCCTTATTGAGTTAGCAGAATTTAGGGGAGCAATTTGAGAAGTGAAAAACAGCACTGAGGGCAGATTAGGCAATTAGATTTTCATAGGATGAGATTGAGATCGGCCCCTCTTTTCATGGGGGCTCAGCATGGAGTAGATTAAAGACAGATTCAGTTTATGGCTATTAAAAGTGATGGATCTCTACCTTTAAAAATGCAAATTTATCTCAAATTTATTACAGCCAGCCACAACGGATGTGTTAGAGGTTGAGCCTCATAAATTCAAGCTGCAGTTTGTTTTGTTGCTGTAAATACCAAACTAAGGCCAATGACAGCTGAGACATAAGAGCACCTGATTTCCCTGGCAACATTAAGGTTATTGCTGTGATGTAGACTTATTATAATGAACTAGTATGGGAACTAGTTGAATGGTGTTTTTTTTGTGGTTCTCATTATAATGAGATGCAACTATTTGTTGCATCAAAGTATCAAAGAAACACCTGCTTCAATATAAAAAAATAACTTATAGGGTTCTTTTGGTTGCTACTTCACCATGATCCATGTTTCAATAGTAGTTTTTTTTTAAATAAATTTGAAATGTAAGAGCAATATATTGACAAGCGAAATTTGCATTAAGCAATGTTGGGGAAAAGCAAGCCAAAGGAGTGATTGCAGCCAGGTCAATATGTAGTGTGTTTTCAGAACAGACTGACAATGCAAAAAGTTGACTTTTGCTACTGTTCTAAATTGAACATTAACATTAGTAGGGTTGGTTTGTTGTTTTGTTTTTTTTTTTTTTGTCAGAGAATTAATAATGGAATGTACTTACTCTATTCTGTAACTTAGTGTATTACTGAGAACTGTAGCTGCTTAGCTTGGTATCTGCAGTTGAGATGCATTGTATCCTTTTGTGTTGTTTTGATAAAACCTCTTTCTTTGACACAATTCTCTGTATAGTGTTAAGCATCCTTCTTTTTTCTAGCTCAGCTGGCAGACTTTGGAGGTGTTTTGGTGATTGGTCCTTTTTGTAACTCTTTGTGTAGAAAGAGTTTGGAACATAAACATCTCTGTCAAATTCTATGTTTAGGAGTGGCAACTGCTCTCCTAGTACAGAAGTTGTCCCATAATCCCTGATAGGGAATATCGTGTGTGCAATACATCAGTATTAATTTGATAACAATTTGCCATAATGGCACAGGCAGTAACACAAACTAAATGTTCAGATATATGTTCCCATAAGAATTTTGTTACTCAAACAGGGTAAGAATAAAATGCAAAGTACTGAATGACTGTATGCTTTTGATCTTGCAGGGCAGGTTCAAGGTTTTCATGGTACGCAGTACTGATGAGCTAATACTAATACTTCTACAGCATGTATTTGTCTGTGAAGTGTTTGATCTAACATGTTGCTTGTATGGTGCATGTTCAGCTCGCCGCCTACAGCTCAGTCCATGGGAGAGCAGCATTGTTAACAGACTCCTGACGCCCACTCACTCATTTCTGGCCCGAAGTAAAAGCACCGCTGCACTGTCTGGAGATGCAGGTAAACCCACAGGAACAGAGGCTTCATGTCAAAGACACTTATTTTTCCACATTACCTGTGGGAGGTTGTAGTTACTGATCTAATTATGAGCATACAGTAGCATCCCAGAATGAGCTTGAATGTCTATGATTACATTGCGCGACAGCATGAAAGTTTGCTTGTACAGTTGTTTGCTATGCTTCTTTCTCTGTCTCCAACCATCTCTTTCTTAATTTCTGTTGTCTCTTCATCAATGCAATAAATGAATACAACACACACAGGGCAGCAGTGTCACACTGTCCGTGGCTATCTAAGGAAATGTGCACAATGTTATGAAGAGCTCATTCAGCACACCCACTGCTAAGGCTGTGAGCTGCTTGCTGCAAAGGATAGTTTCACTCTCTATAAGGGCACTTTCCACATGGAGTAAGTTAGACTTGTAGAAAGATAGTCCCTGGTTGCCATGGATTTAATACATGTGAATTTAAATGTGCAGGTTTAGTGAGGTTATAATAATTATGAAGTTCTCTGCCAGCCCCAGAACAGATCTGTTGATATACTTACTGAGGTGAAAATTAACATGACGAAATGTAAAAATATTTCTAGGTGGTAACTTAAAGTCCAGGGAAAATGGCATTCCAAAGAAAACCAGGGCATACTTGCTTATCATGTATTTTAGGCAGGTGACAGCTGCCTCTTCTTTTATTGTGGTATGTTTTATGATCATGCACTGTGGACTTGATGATTACAATAGTATATTGCTGCACATGCTGAATGCTTAAGCCTAGGCAGGTTTCTCTTGTCTGATAGGACTGGATTTTTATTCTGATTAAGGGACACAGAACATAAGAAGGAATAGAGATCTGGTAAGATTAAAGACTCTTTCACTTAAGAGCTCTTATAAGTAATGAGGCTGCAATACAGGAGCAAAAACATAGATGATATTCTGCAAGCAGTGGAATAGACAAATACAGAATTCTTTTTAACCCTTCACAAACAACAGCTGGTAAAATAAATAGTTAATGTCATTTACCAAGCAGGATATTGGAAATTCAGCTCTTTTATTTTTTTTTAGGGAAATCATTGTCTTAGTTTCGTAAGTGGTTACTTTACTGAAGCAAGCATGAAGATTTTCTTTTCTGACTGCTATTGTTGGTTCTGTGCCATAAACTCTAAACTGAGTAGCATATTGCAAATATTGCAGGAATGACTCACTTGTCAGTTATCAGGATGAGGTAATTCCCTGAAATGCCTTCCCTATGCTTACTGGAACTGTACCACCCAGAAGAATACTCCATCTGCTCATTGTTTTCCAGGTATTATTCTCTAGGAGCAATAACTGCAGTCCCTTCATGCAGCGTGCTTCCTGGAGATTAATGATCAGGTGGTGGTAATGGCTCACAGCTGTACTCTAAGCACTCAACTCATCCCAGCCTGTCATTATTCCCTAGAAAATTACTCTGCCCTTTGGCTGTAAAGATAAATTATGATGCAAAAAAATCAAAATCAAATTAAATATGGATTCGTGCCCTTAAATTTTAAGTGAGCTGTTACGGACATCCAACATAAGAGTATGTTTGGCCCTTTTTTTCAAATAACCCTCTAAAACCTAGGTGTTTTTTAAATAACTCTCCACAAGCTCCTCTGAGCAGATGTAATCCTGTTGGTACAGCATTCCCTGGGAGTGCTTCCTGAAGCATTGTTTGGCAACATCACAAATGAAAATGATCTGGTTGTCTTTTAATACTTACGATATCATCCTTGGTGGTAACTTCAGATAATCAGTGTGCAAGTGAGAGAATTGATTCACAGAATGTAGGAACCAATAAATTACAAGATGTTTTAAAACATACGTTGTGCCACTTCCTCCTATCTGGATTAGATACACTCAACAAAAAAAAAAATCCTCACAAACAAAAGCTCCTCTTTTCTTGTTTCTTGATTTTTATTTATTCTTTTAAGTCAGTCATTTTATAATATCTAATTAAACAGAAATTCCTATAAATGATAAGGCAAGCATGAGTGCTGTTGCTGTTACACTTAGAATCATAGAATCATAGAATAGTTAGGGTTGGAAAGGACCTTAAGATCATCTAGTTCCAACCCCCCTGCCATGGGCAGGGACACCTTACGCTAAATCATATCACCCAAGGCCTCATCCAACCTGGTCTTGAACACTGCCAGGGATGGAGCATTCACAGCCTCCCTGGGCTCTTTATTCATGATGTTAATCTCTTAGTACAGGAGAATTTGTAGTGTTGGTACTGTTAAGTCTATGAGCTCTTCCTGTAACAGCAGCTGTACCGTTGTAAAACTTGAAGAATTGACTGTATGTGGAACTGCGTTCTTTCAAGTGTGCTCAGAGAGGGATCTACAGGCAAGAAATTTTGGGAGTGCTTACCAAGAAAACTGAGGATGTAATTCTCTTGCTTTGTGGTGGTTTTATGTTTTTGTTTTGGGGTTTTTTGGTTTGGGTTTTTGGTTTGTTTGGTTTTTTTTTGTTTTTTTTGTTTGTTTGTTTGTTTTTTTTATTTATTTAAAGGGGGATAGGGGAGATTCCATACAGATGCTCTACTTTTCCTTCCAGTAACATACTGAATAATAATAATGCTAAGACTGTATTAAATGACCAGGAAGGACAAACAGGAGCAGACAAATAAATCTCAGCAATAACAATGTAGTTTTTCCTAGTCTCCTCCTTCAGTTAAGAGAAAGCCCAAGACTACATTGCTGCAAAAATTTACCCATGATACATTTTGCACTGTTACAATTTTCTTTGAATGTATAATTGGAACACCGTATATCTGATAATCTGTCACTGGCAGGAGATCTTTTAGTAATAGTCTTTTGTCCTTGTGCAAACCAATGAAAACTGCTGTCCTGGTTACTCAAATATTAATTTCGAAGTTCATTTGTTTTTAGCCTGCTTTCTGTAATGTGTAAAATAGTTTGCTTTGAAAAATGTATAATCAACTGTTATTCTGGGTTATCAAAGAATATTAAAAGTTCTTAAATGGGTAGGTTTCAAATAGAAGCCTTCAAAAAGAAAACACATCACTTGCTAAAAATTGTAGACAGCAGTTTCATTGATGTCCTCGGTGAAGCTGGTTTGTATTCTTAATGTGTTTTGATGTTTGTGTGTATCTCCTTTTATTTTCCTCCACTTCCAAGATCAATTAACAGGCATTCTGATTTTAGTTTGATTGTTTTCTATTCCAAATGCAACTGAAATTCATGTCAATGTATATACTAAGCCAGTCAGACCTGTCATTGTGTCCACTGCTTTTTCACCAGTTGTATAAAAACAGAAAATCATCATTATTTTCTACTACTATGTGGCATACTTCTTGATGTATTCAAAATACTTAGTTTCCAAATGGAAAAGTACATGAGTGTCTATTGAAATGGTATCATTACTGTATGCGTGGCCAAGCTAGTGTATCAAATGATGGTTCTGACTTGAAAATTAGTCATTCCTCTATGTATTAATACCTTCTTTCTTTTCTGTCTTTCTCGGTTGTTTCTGTTCCTGCTGGCTTTCCTCTGTCAATTCTCCAATGCTGCTCTGTAATTAAAATTAATAAATAACAAAACCAACCAACACCGTAGTTATCCCCATTTGTCCTCGTTCAGCATCTTGCAGCCCCATCAGTCCTCTGTCCTACAAGGCCATGAACTGCAGGAATCCAGGAGACAGAACAAAACTTTATGCCTCTACTGATGCTGTTGGACGTAGGAGAACAACGCATCTTGCAGGGGTAAGTGAGTTTCTCATGCTATGACCCACTGATTGCATTGCTTGTTAGGACAGGAATAGTTGCAAAGATACTTGATGAAGTCTGATCCTCCCCTCTGTACTGTCCCCACCCTTTCCAATTTATTTCATAGTTGGCTGGATTTTAAGTGAAATATAGTATGTTATGTGGTGATGTGGCCTGATTGTGCACCAAAGAATCCATGTAGAAAACCATCTGTGTTTTCCAAACATCCATGTTTGCAGAGTGGATGCCTTAGCTTCTCATAAGGCACAGAGGCAGTCACAGTGTGTGTTCCTTTTTCTCAAGTGGATTCTTTGCTGCCTTTTAAGGCCTGACCTGGCGTTGCAGCATTTCCCTTAGTGCCACCTGTTTTTCCCAGCAACCTGTTTTTACAAAGCCTGTAGAATTTCCTATCTTCTGATAGCAAATTCAGCTGAGCCTCTGGGATAAAAAGGGGAGAAGGCATGCACTGACGTATATAAGCACATATAGTGCTATCATTTTAGCTTTACTTTCTTAGGAGAAAAGTTAGTAAAGTTTTAGCTAGTAAAGTTTAGCTAGCAAAGTTTTCCTCATTGAGAAGGAAGAGGTTGGTTTGTAAGCAAGGCTTCCTACAGATCACCTGTTCATTCTGAATGATTTGTTAGCTGTACTATGAATGATGTGTACTTGCAGGGAAAGTCAGAACAGTGTGATACAGGCAGACCGAATACATGTTGACTGTGCTCCAAGCCAACAAGATGCAGTCCTCTCCAGTTCATTTGCTGAACCTGAGCAGTTATATTTTCCCTTGTACCCTATGGCCTGAGTTTGTTTAGAGTGTGAGAAGAGTGAAGTCATCTCTGCAAATGATAGACGTGTTCGTGTTTTTGTTTGGCCTGGTGGGCAAAATGTAAAGAGGCAGTTTTGCTATTGACATCTTTGATGGAAGCAATGTTAATGAAAGTCACATGAATCACAGCCAGTACTTAATCTTCCAGGCAGATGGTATTGTATTGAAGTTTTAAGTTAAGGCATAGCATCGGGATGCATCTGTAGAGAAATCTCATAGTATACATGCAATGCGTATAGTGCATTGCAATCTCCACAGCTATCAGCTTAACACCTCTTGGCTCTTTCTCCTTGCAAGTGGTTTGAGTTTTGGGGAGTTTTGTGTTATGTGGTGAGGATTTTTTGCTTTGTTTTGTGTTTTTTTTTGTTTTGTTTTTAAAGAAGAAAGGTTAGTACATTCTGGTGGAGGATGCATTATGAAAATGTTAATACAAAGGGACTGAGTTACCTGCTGTTTTCAGTAGCCTGTATGGTATGGAGAATCTTTTATTCTATAAACTTTTGTAGAAATTCAGTTTTTTACTTTATTGAGGTTAAGAATGAAATTCTGATGCTCTGTTTTTGAGACTAACAAAGTAGATCCAGTATAGAGAGTTATTGCTAGTGGGCCGAAATTCTTGTTTGTTTTAATGCATTTGTTCTGGTTTGCATGCTTTGATAACTCAAATGATTATCATATTAATCAGTAGATATCTGGTAAATTGTACTGCCAAAGAGCTGGCTTGAGTAATGAATTTAGGATTGAGACCATCTATTGCTAATGCTAAGTTGTGGTTTTGGCAATTTTAATTGTAAACATGATGGTCAAAAAAACCCTCTTGGATTGAGGAATATAAACCAAGTATGCATGCACTCGTGAAGTTTTTTTCAGTCCTTCTTTTCCAGTTGATAACCTGGTTTTCAGTTCAGGAGATGAGCATGGCAGAGCTCTCCGCTAGTGAGGCTCTAAAGCAGTCTGGTGCACATGCTGCAGGGGTTGTGCTTAAGGCCCAGCCAAGGTGGTGACCAGCAGCCTCTCTGCATTATGTTGGCTGACTCGCAGCTCAGTGACCTCTCCAGTATTCCCACCTCTCAGACTCCTGAGTCTGAGCTGATTATTCCAAAAACCTCCAGTTTTTCATCTATAGTTAGAACAGATATATAGATGCCTAAATCTAAAATGGAAAATAAAAAAGGAAAATGAGGAAATTGCTACCATGTGTAAGAATCAATGGCAAGAAAAGTATGTGGCGTGAAATCATCCAAGAAGAAAAAGAACAGGGTAAATGTTGTACCATCTAACTATTCCATGATTCTATGTTTGAGGGCTTTGAGTCTGTAGTGTTCGCATAGGAGTATGAAAGCAAAACCCTTGTGCTATATATGGGCTGTGACTAAGTGTGAGTCTGGGGGTGTGTGGGGGTGTGTTTTTCTCTTTCTTCAAGTGAAATCCTGGAATTATGGGAAGTAGTGGAAGGTACTCTGTGACAATCAGCAAAGATCAAACCTTAAAAGGTAATTTTTTGCCTGTTAGAAAATAAGCCTCTGCAAATTAGCTATTATGCCTTAGGACAGTAGAGAACATGATTAAGAAGGATTCTTGTTGTCAAATGCATATTTACTGTTAAAGATGGTGACAAATTACAGGGTCTGTATTAATGAATTTGTTAAACCGGCTGTAGAAACTACTGACTCAGCACTGCTTTTTCTCAGCCCCCCCCCCCCCATCCCCTCATCCTTAACTGAGTTTGCTTTGCTTTCGTTATTCATGTGAACTCTGGCTTGACTTTTGTCTTTTTGTTTGCTGAACTATAGACTGACAAAAAAGAAAAAGAGAGAGACCATTTGTCATCCAGCTTCTCAGCCAGCTTTAAAGGAGGTCATTTTTCTTCCAACCCCAAAGCTAGATCACCAGCTCCCTCTCCAGTTTGGTAAGCCAAGTACACGCCTAGCTGGAGGTTGAGCTATAGGCAGCTTTGATCGTTCTGTTAATTAAATGTGAAATAGTGCAAACTTATTTGGTGATGTAGATGTTTTCTCTCTGCATCAAAGGAAAGAGTTCTGCTTTTAGAAAAATATTACTACTGCTCTGAGGAAAGGGAAGGAGGAGGAAGATACTGATTTCTTCCCTCCTGGCTGGGCTTGGTGATCACACATGTGGAGAGTTGCAAAGAGAAGCATTTTGCATGAAAGTAGTGAGATTCTCCAGGAATCCTGCTTGATAGCAAAGAAATAGAGATGCTGTTCTACTTTTAGCCATTGTAGTTGTAGAAGGGATGTGTAGGTGGTGTCCAGCAGAGCATGCATGATGGTGATTATTGCTCTTTGGTTACACAGGCATGCATCAAAGTCTTTGCCTTTTTTGCCTGGCACACCCAAGCAGATAAATTCCCCACCTGGTTCCTCCAGAGTTTCCTCTGCTCAGGCACGTCCTCCTTCTCCTGGCAACATCCGGCCAGTCAAAAAAGAGGTCAAGCCAGAGAGTGAGAAAAAAAGATCAGAAAAGGAGGCTGAAAAGGCCAATGAGGAGAGGACAGAAGACAGTAAAGGAGCTTCTGCAGGTACTGGAGAAGCTGCAAGTCGAGAAGAACTTGCTGTCCAGGCAGAGCTCCCTCAAGGTAAGAATAGATCCTCCTTTAGGTTAAGGAATATCTAGAGTCTACTATGTTCTTCCTCTCTCTGAAATGATGTAGCTTTCAGTAGTTTTCTATCAAAAATTAATCTAAGTTCTTCAGAATATTCCTACAGATGTGTGTTCATTGAGAAATCTGTAAACAGGTTGAAGCTCTCCTGTTTGTAAAAGTAGAAACAACATGCGCAGTGTGAATTCCCAGCCCTCTTCTCTGCCTTTTTGGACTGGGATTTTGTCCCTCAGATCATGACACTGCTTCTTTTCAATACTACTGAAGTAGAATAATAGTGATCTGAAGACAGGAAGCCATTACATAACATAGTGTGAGCAGTGAAAATGTCCACCTGTGCTAGACACTCAGCACAGTTGTACCGATAACACCACCAGCTTACCTGTGATCTTTCAAGAGTACCACACCATGGGACAGATTAGCGGGATAAAGTGGAATGCAGAGGAGGGGTACCAAGAGGAAGAGTAGAGAAGAACAAGCAGAATTTTTCAGGGAAAATGAGTTGTTAAAGAAAAGACAAACAAAAGAACCCCACACCAACCCTGAAAAGCAGCAAGGCAGAAAAGGATGTACACACAAAATAAAATAACGCTTCTAAAATGTAGGAAGAGCAAAAGGTAAATATGAAAACGAAGTGTAGTTTTGTTCTAGCACACATCTTAACCCATTGTAAGTACAACATAAACTGTCTGTCTTGCAGATGCAATAAAATGACTATTGTGACTTAAGATTCTGAATTTAAAATTCGTAGATTCCCCTGTGATTGTCCTTAAGAAAACAGTTTCAAGCATTAATAATTCTGCATTTAACTGCATGATTTGTAGTTGGGGGTTCTTCTTCTGTAATAAGACCTGATGCAATTGTATTTTTTTTTTTTTTGTTCTAACAAGTTCTGTTACAGTAGTTGCAGTCTGACACCCAATCCCTGCCACGTAATGAACCTAAGAGATTTACAGTAATAAATTGATGCAACTGTTAGTCATGGGCATGGCATGTAAAGAAGATATAATTGCCATATTAGCATGGGGTTTCACTGTTCTGATGATAACTTTGGCCTGTTTTTTAATGAGAAACCTCCTTTTTAAAAAGGATTTCAGGGATACCACTGAGATAACTTTGCAAATGTTCACAAGTTGTAGGTCCCCAAGGAACTGCGAAGTGCAGACCAGAAAAGCACAGCCATACTTGTTTGGCAGTTTAGCTCAGAAGGAAGAAAGGCTTGACTTTTTTGCACTCAGTCAATATCTGAGTTTCTGACAAGATCACTTAGTATGGAGATAGGTTATGTGTGGTAAAGATAATAAAAAATGAAGTAGTTTGCATTCACAGCAAAAAAAAAAAAAAACAACAAACAAACAAAAATAAACGGGTAGTGGAGAGGGCCAAAAGAGAAGGATACTATAGTAAAAAATGGTGAGCAGCACTTCAAATTGGGTGCTTTTTGCCAAAGCTGAAAGAAGTGATGCTTGGGACCAAAGATTGAGGCCTTTTACATGTGAGGTTAGAGTGGACAGGCTTTGTACTGCAGATGGAGGCTCAAGCTGCCAAAACATAGCTACTGGTTGAATGTAAGAATCTAGAGAGGGGCAAGTGCAGCATCTGGGGCTGGACAGACACTGCTGATACTCCTTGGTGTGTGCTGCAGGTGAGCATAGGTGAAATCTGCCAATTACCTGCACTGGTCTTTAGCCTGCCTAGCTCAGCTACCTGCTAGCTGTATAGTCACAGATGCCTGGAGATCAGCAGGTGTTGATCACTGACAGAGCTATTCAGACTTTTGCAGGCAAATATCACATGATTTTACTAATGACAATGAAGTTTCAAAGGTATTTTGGGTGTGCCTGTGCAAGCTGTTGTCATCTTTTCTGAAAGCAGGGCAGAGGTGCATTAAATGGGCTACTTGTTATGCTGCCAGCTTCAGCACCTGAGGCAAGAAGTGAGCCCTAAGCAGCACAAAACTGTGCTGCCTTCAGGAGAGACAGCCCTACCTTGGTCCATGTTAGCAAATTACAAAGGGCTGAGTTGTAGGAACTCTGTCATTTATACTATTTAACTATTACAAAGGCTGTCTGGTATGTTTCTGATTGAGGTTGTAATTAAAGCCCCACATTTTCTTACCTTCCATCCCCAGGGCTTCTAAGAGCATAGCTCTAAAGGGGTCCCAGGTTTTAAAGTGATCAAATTACCTGCCTTTTTATATTTGACCATGCCAGAATTTTCTGAGTTCCTAGCTACATCTTGGAGGTTAGCCCAGACCTGAACTGTTCGCTCGGGGTGGACTGAATACCTGTTTTGGTCATATGAGAGAGTAGTGCTCTGGCTGAGGCTAAACTGTGCCAGCTCACCTCAGGGCTAGAGAACAGCTCTAACTCTTTAGATTACTGGTGTACATGTATCATTTGAGTTCAAGGCGAAAGCCCTGAAGCAGTTATAGAAAGGCCTGCATAGTTTTTAGTTGGCAGAAGAAGAGAGGAGAGAGGTCAGCAGGTGTGAGCATTCAGCACAGAGAAAGCAGTTGAATTTGTGTTTGTATACATGACAAGGCATAGGAACGTGAAACTGGGGAGGAAACCCCTCTTGGAAGTTTAGTGAGGTGAGTGATTAGAAATGGAGATTTAAATAATCTCCTGGCTGTTCCTGATGACTTATTCTACATATATCTTCCCAGGACTGGAATCTGATTCCGTTTGCCGTTTGAAGTCTTCCCTGTCCATGTTTATCTGTTACTAGATGTGATTACCCTGGCAATGCTTCCTTCAGTTAGCTTGTGGGTTGGTGATGGTTCTTGGCCTCTAGAGAAAAAGTACAGCTGAGGCATGCTCTAGCTGTGCAAGGAATGCCAGGCAAACTTCCAGAAACATGAACTAGTGTTTTACTTGAGGAAAAGCCTGTAACACCTTCTCTAACCAGCTACTCGTGGACACAGAATTTATCTGAAGACACTATTGAGATCTGAACATAAGCCATAGTTCACCAATAGTGGCAAAGCTTGTTGAGAAGCTGTGCTCTGGTCCCACAAGTTGCCTCATGTTAGTAATTGCAGAATTTATGGTATCTTGTGTTCTACCCTTATTGCAGATCACTTCAGACAGCTGATATTTGAAATCACCAACTCTCCAAAAGTGACTGGCCTACCGCCAAAAGTCTGGCTGTGCTCTTCAGATATAGACTACCAGACAGAAGAAAATATAATGCCACAATGTTTCATTTCATTTCTGCTTTGTAGATAGTTTTGGGCAAACCTAAGACATGCTATGGTAGGGACTTGCTGAGTCAGCATAACTCCTGATGAGCATCCATCAACATTTATTCTTCTGACAGAAAAGTTGGCTTAACCTTTCAACTGCAGCAGCTTTTTCATATCCTGTAAAATCAAACTTCCCTGAAGGAATATAAATCCCTAGCACCTAGAAATGTCTTCCATCTCTGAATTATTTATAAAACCACATAAGCTTGGAAACACCTTACGAAGTATTTGAATCTATTTTTTGTTCCTTTCAAGAGAGTGTCATCTTGTTTATTGTGTCTGTACAAACTAGTTTTCCTTCCATCTGTTTTAGCAGCCAGCTCATCACTTCCTCCTGCTCCGCCAGCTCTTTCTCCACCTGCAGCCCTGACAAAGACCTCTGCAGGTACAACTGACCCTGAAGAAGCAACAAGGCTGCTGACTGAGAAGAGGCGCCTTGCCCGTGAGCAGCGGGAACGGGAGGAGCAAGAGAGGAGAGAGAGAGAAGAGCTTGAAAGGTGATTATAGACCTCTGCAATGGAGAAGATCTGTTTTTAGCAGCCTCCTAGCAGCTTCTTGTGTATATTCTGTTGTTACTCTGTGCTATATGAAGCACAGTATTGAAGTGCAGGAGGCATGAGTTCCTCGCTGGAAATGATTTTCCTGTTGGGATTTTTTTATAGTTGCAATATATATAGCTAAGCAGATCTGTAAGGTTAAAACTTATCCCAAATAGTGCTTTAAAATAGGACAGGAGGAGAAAGCAGATCCTTGCTGTAGTGATTCATTGTTTCCTCAGAGATTAGCAAAACTATACTTGTCTATTACAGCTGGAGAACTCTGTACAGCTGTTTCCAGTTTTGTGATTGGCACGTCTCTTAATTTGAATTGTAAGATCTCCACCATGGGGGGTGTTTTGGTGTCCAACAGCTGTCTCTTTAAACATCTTTTTTTTTTTTCTTGTTTAAAATCAAGGCATCCCCCTAACAGTTTTGGAGGGTAATAGATGTTGTGTCTCACTTTCTACTAGGAAACGAGTAGCTCTGTATACTTATGGCTGTGGCTGTGACACAAGTTGAGTGCCTTTTTAGAGGGATGCCATGCATCTGGAATTCGATTGTGTTCTTTAACAACAACATTGCTGAACACAGGAACAAGGCAGAGCCAGTTTAAATAGCCTGGCTTTCCAAAAGGCTTACAACATGGTCCCTCTCAAAAAGGCTTTTAAAGAAAACAAGCTGCATAAGAGTAATACGGTGAGTAAATACTAAGACTGAAAGATGGAAAACCAAAGGTAAAGAATAATCAGCTTTCACAGGGAAAGGAGTTTTCAGTCTCTTTGCAGTGCCTTCATAAATTAACTTGAAGGAAGTTGTGGCCAATGAGATATTGCTCATCTTTGGTGAGATAAAGCAGTTATGCAGAGTTTCAGACATATCTTACATTGCTGAGATACAAAATAGAAGCTGGATTGCAATACTGTGAAGCATAAAGGAATGTGTATATGTAAATTATCCCAACTTAATTCAGGTGGTGGTGGTCGCTGGGCTGATTATTTCTGAGGGAAGTGATCTTGTTTGAAGTTGAGTATATGGAAGTATCAAGTGAGTCATAGTCAACAAAATAAATGAACTGTTGCAAATGAGATGCCTACAAATTAATAGAAAAGGAGAACAAGATGAAAATGTCATTCTGAACTATCTAAGGTGAATCTGCCTCTTGAATGTTGAAGTTTATGTTTTTTTGAGATAGTAAAATCAATAAAAAAACTAGGAAAATAAGTGCCGACAGACATTAAGGAAGATCACAAGTATAGAACAGCTCCTATATGAAAATCTACTAAACAAGTGAGGATTCTTCAGCTGGCACGACTCATCTGTGCTCTACTTCTGAGGATATGATAGGCTACAAAGTCATAAATAATTTGGGTAGCATCAAAGGTGAATGGGGAAAGTTATTGAGTCCCATAATGCAAGGATGAGGGGGCATTAAGTGAGGTTAAGAGGCAGTGTTCAAAAATCAGAAGAATTAGATACTTTTTTAAGACAACTTTTTTAAATTTAAAAATTGCTACAAGATAAGATGGGTGCCAAAAATGTACACTATTTCAAAATACGATGAAAAAAACTAAGAATGAAATGCTTTGCGAGATGTATTAAAGTTGATGATACCGGTTCCGATTCAGAGAGTATGTGAGTCATAGATTAGTGGAAACATGTGCTGAAGTATTGGTATTGCCTTGCGAAGTTTTTTTTGTTCCATAGAGGTTCAGCTTTGGCCCCTTCTGGAAGCAGAGCAGACAACTTATGAATGAGACAGCAGTGCAACCTTCATACAGCTGTTCTGCAGTGCTAGTGTCTTGGGTCAGGAATATGGTGGTTGGGGGTTTTTTCCTCCTTTTTTCACTTAATTTTCTTATGCTTGTTTCACAATTGCAGGCAAAAGAAGGAGGAGCTGTCACAGAGGATAGCAGAAGAGAGAGCTCGCCGAGAAGAGGAAGAGGCTCGCAGACAGGAAGCAGAAAAGAAACGGAGGGATGCAGAGGAGGAACGGCAAAAGGAAGAACGGCTGCGCAGACAGGCAGAGGAGAGAGAACAAAAGGAGAAAGAGGAGATGGAGCGCATTCAGAAACAAGTATGCTTACCTACTGGAACTTCCCTGCCAGTCTGGTTGGCAGTGAAGTGGATGAGGCAACACCTCTTATGCAGCACCTAGATTAGAGGATTATCTAAAATTTGAACGCTATATAAAAAGTGAATAGTTTTGGGTCAGAGTTCATTCCTTATAGTCATTCAAAGAGTAAAGATATTTCTTCTTGACAAAAACATGGTAGGGAGTTGAGTTTTTGTTTTGGTGGTGTTGGGGTTTTTGTTGTTTTGGCTTTTGTTTGTGTTTTGTAGTTTTGTTGGTTTTTTTGTTTTGGTTTGGTTTTGGGTTTTTTTTGTTTGTTTTGGGGGATTTTTTGTTATTTTGATGGTGGGTTATTTTTTTTTTTTTTTCCCTGTAGAATTTATTTACTTACAAAAAAATCCTTTCCTATTCCTGATAAATTGTGACAAATAAATCAATGCAGTTGTATCAGAGGATTTTAATGAATGGTGTTATACCAGAGAACAATTTGTCCACACAGTTATAGAAAGTCTAGATGCGAAGATGACTATTTAGAGTGTTGGAGAAGGCATAGGTTTTGATGACTTTAATCAAGGCTCACACAGTCCTCCTGAAATCAGAACAGCTACTCAACAGATATGAGAGTAAACAAATCAAAATACAATTTTTCGAGTGCTCTCATTTTTGATGGGCATAATGTTGGTTTGCCAACTTCAGGAGAGGCTGTGGTAAGTATTCTGGATTCTTTTTTTGCATGTGCCTTTACTTTTTGTGTGTGCTTTCTCCTCCCCCAGAATTCAGCACTTCAGTCTGCCTCATAAACATTATGTTTTTCTTATGGTATGTCATTAAATGTATGCTTCTGAAAATAAATGTTTAAAGAATTGTGTTAGTGATTATAACTTAGAAACTGCAGTTCACTTTTTCAGATGTATGCTGCTTTCTTTGAAATGCAAAACTGACTTACATCCATGGTTTAGCACTCAGAAATTGTGTATGGCCAAGTTTTCTGCATGTTACAGCCTTTACAAATGAACTGTTGCAGTAGTTCCATCATACACCACTGTTATTGTTAGGGAGCAAGGCCTCTCTACAGTATATTCCAGATGAGTTTTGCATTTAATTCAGAAGAGCAGGAATGGAAAGCTTGTGCTAATGTTTCTGTGACTGTTACTCCTTTGTGTCATTAAATGATGACTCTGTTGGTCAAATAAAACATTCTACTGCTTTTGGTTGCCTCTCAAAAACATCCACCACTCAAAACATGAATCTAATACTTTCCTGGCTTCTGTTTTGATGCTGAAGGTTAGAAATTTATTCTTTATTTGTCATTTGGTGTGATTTCATGCACGTGCCCTAGAACAGGCACAGAACTAAATATGATGTTATGCATCTCTTAATGCTATGCAAAATATGGAAATTAATCAGTTCAGTCTGAAAAGATTGTTGGTAACTTCCAAACCCCAAAAGTATCTTTTCAGGGGGTTGTAGAAATGCATAGTTACGCAGATATCAGTGTAAATCTGTCCTTAAATAATGAATTATTCCTTACTACTTTTTCTTTCCCCATCAACTCAGAAAGAAGAAGAAGCTCGCCTACGGGAAGAGGCAGAGCGTATTCGATTAGAACGTGAAAAGCATTTCCAAAGAGAAGAGCAGGAGCGCTTGGAAAGGAAGAAGGTAACTCAGTACATGCAGAGAAACTGTAATTCGTTTTGCCTTAGCAGTTTGTTTCCACCACAGCTCTGGAAAGTTATCCATGGTAGAAATGTGCTGTTAGAAAAGCTTCAGTCCTTATCTGCATAGTCTGATGTGAATGGGAATGGAATATCACCAACATAAATAATTCATCTTTTTTGCAGTAAACAGGTGCAACAAGCAGTTGTGGTTTGGGAGAGAGATTTTTGAATTAATGACAGTGAACGTAATTTTACCCCTTTACGTTTCATTGTAGAGGCTTGAGGAGATCATGAAGAGAACTAGGCGTGTAGAAGCAGGAGATAAGGTCAGTGCTGCTACTTAACACAGGTAAACATTGGACACATTTCACTTCTTTTCCCCAGTGCCATTTTTTAATTTGCAAAACTGTGCTTCCTTTGTAGAAAACCAGTGACCACCAAAATGGACATATATCAAAGGCAAATATTACTGGAGAAACAGGTATTGTGTTTAACTGCGCCCTGAGCACAACAGGTGAATAAATGCCTCTAAGCACAATGATTTGAGATACAGTTCTGAAACTTGTCACAGTAATTGCAGAAAAGAAAACTGAGAGGACTAGAACTGAAATCTTTGCAAACATCATTTAGCCTTTCTGTATGGGTAGTTAGCCTTTACTAAATGAGTCAGCTGTTTTAACAACTTTGTCACATCGGTGTTTAACAAGAGCAAGTTGCCTACTGAGTTTATTTATGAAGTGAAAAGAAGTAAACTATCTTCTGTTTTTGATCACAGAATAGTTGGACACATATATAGTGCTACACATGTAGTCGTTGCAGACTTACTCAATTTTCTTAAAGGATTATTTCTTCTCAGTCATCAAAACAAATTGTTTGTTATTCTAAACATCTCCCTGTGACTTTTGTCCATACCTGCTGCCTTATTCACTTGGTCTTAATTTATTCCCGACCCCCACTTCCCCAAAATTCAGCTCCTACAAAAGCTTAGTCTTTCTCTCACACCTGCATTCTTAGTCTTTCCTTCTGTTCCATCTTTTTTTCACTGGTCCTTTTAGGTAAAGTTTTTCATAAGACTTTAATATTTACAATAGAGGAAAAAAAATGTAGCTCATATTCAACAATTACCAAGTATGAATTAGCACTACTTGAGATGCTGAAGTCAAGCTATCAAATGGCTTATCCCATTGTCACAGAACATATTAAATGACATCAGCCTTCTTTGTATTTGAGTTGAGTAACAGGGAAGACGGATAACAGCACTGGCTGACGTACAACTTTTTTCTAGATGTTAAAAGTGAACACTTATTTAGCACTGCCAGGGAACATTTTGGCACAGATTTCATTATGTGTGTTTGGGAGTTATTTGTTTACATATTATCTTGGGAGGGATGGGGGACTGAGGGAGAGAAGGTGCTATAAACCATTTAAGTGTTCCTTGAAGCTATACATGGCTCTGTAGCCTGTGGCTAATGCTTTCCCTCCAGAAGGAGAAGTAGCCAGTTTCCTAAGGCATAGGAGAGTTTGGACCTCCATTTCCCCAGGCCTGAGGGAAGTCTGGAGTCCTTGAATGACTGAATAAAGAGAAAACTGCCCTCACCCTCAGGGCTGCTCTACTGTTTGGCTTTGCTTTACCTAGATATGCTATTGAGTCAAAGGTAGGTATTAATAGAGATATTTCTGCCAATTAACTTTTCACACTATGCACTAAGAGACTTCTGATCGTACAAAAATGGTGATGATTCCCCCCCCCCCAAAGTATGGTTTTAGTTCTACTGTTTGGCAAAACCTGAAGAGGCCATTACGTGAATGGCTGAATTGCACAAGGAAACAAAATCCATCACCTTTTTGTCATTTGTTTGGCATCTGCTTCAAAATAGGAGCTAGCTCTGTGTTTCTAAAGCAGAGCAAGTTTCTTCTGCCTTTTCTTTTTAATGTTAATTCCAATGTATTTTCTTCTTATTACACTGTAGAAGCACCAAAACCTGTATTTCTGATATTCTCCTTACAAAAACTTGCCAAAGTTCATACTAAAACATTTGGTATAGAAGATTTCAGCCCAAGATTTTAAAGCATAGCAAAACAGAGCAGCTGAAGAAGTGGCTTACCAGAGGAGGTTTTGGGTAACCAAATGTGTCTAAGCCTATGAATATTAAATTGTTCTTGCAACTATTGTAACAGGTGATAGTATGGATGGGGTGCAATTACTTCCTTTTACTGACTTGCATGTGAATTAGTGTGGCTGTAAACAATTATATACAATGAAGAAGCTTGTAGTTGTACTTCAGAAGAACATCCTGAGGCAGGCCAGTAACATCTGTCATGTGGTGTCTCTATGAGGCACAAAGATAGTCTCTTTTTTGTTACTCTCTACAACATTTTATAGTAGTGATTTGGTACTTGTTGAAAGAAGTATCCTTTCCATGGAGATTTTATTTCCTCTTGATTTCCTTTTGGGCTACAGTCAGAGATCAACACAGGAACCAAGAAATACCAGAGTATGAAACTGGTGATTTCCCAGTGTTCTATTTTCTGTTGCTGCTTGAAAAGTGCCAGCATAATATCAGATATCAATTGACCACTGGCTTGCCTGTTGGAATTGTGTGTATTGTTGTAAAATGTTTATTCTTGTCTGTTAAACTACAGCTTTGAAATCTGTGGCATTTACTTTGGACCTGAAAGAGAGGGCATGTGTGCCAAAAAGCTTGACAAAGGAGGCAGGGTGGGAGAAGGAGAAGAACTCTATTTTTAATCTGTAGCTTGCCTTGACTGTGCTGTCTTCTGTAGGAAGTGTTTTAGCCTAATCTGCAGGTAAATGATGGTGGTCTTTCTCTAGTCATAACAAGTCCTGCATCTCCCTCAGAACCTGCAGGAGGTCCTCAGCTTCAGCATGGAATGACGTCTCCCCACAACGGGAAACCAGTCACCTGCACACATGTGATCGTCTCACATCAACCCTCCATAAATATGGACAGGTAAGAACACTGTGAAGTTTTGGAGGATGGCTAGAGCATGAGGGTTACTAAAGTGATAAATTATTTTGAGATCCATATATTCATTAAGTAAATGAGACAGCTGTTCAATCAGCCTTGTTTCGTGTTTATCTGTTTCTGAACACATAAAAGACCTTTATCATCTTTCACTTAGCAGTAACCTATTTTTGCCAACTGATAGGGAAGAGTTTTGTGAAAATACAGCACATTCTTTGCAATGGACATCTGGAAAAAGTGTTGTTTTCCAGCAATTTTTACATAAATTTAAACTTAATGGAAAGGGAAATTTTTTTCTGTTCCTTTCCATGAATTCAGCTTCATAAAAACTCTGTATTTGCAGTGCTGGTTTTCTTGGTAGGAATAATGAACATTGTGCTTTCAGCCTAGATGTTTCAATTTCTGAACTGCTTGAAGTATTAGCAAGTTTTGCTTACTGAGCAAAAGTCCCTCATGTGAGATACAGAACTACTCATGTTGGATTTGCCTTTAAAAAACCCCTTTGTCCTCTATAAGGGGAATTTAGGAGCAAACATTTAACACCAGGATCTCTCTGTAGCCATGAAACAAGTCACTCAGACTTTGAGAAATTGTTGAAATGTTTGAAACTTCAGTGGTGAACTGCGTGAAATCTGTTGCGTAAGCATGAGCTGTCAGTTATTTCAATTCTCAGAATGCAGAAAGACAAATAATCCCTTAGTCCTTTCATGTTTTATGCAGGTAGTGCATAAAAACTTGAATGTGAGAAGCCATCTCACTGTCTGTAATGGACAGTATGCTTTAGGGTGTGATTGGCACTAATTGAAGGAGGAATTTGCCCTCTCTTGCTCCCTCAGTATGCCTGGGGGATCTTAGCCTGCTGTCAGGCTGACAAGGGTGCTCCTGCTGACAGAAGTTCTGTCAGTGACACTGAGCACTGAGCTGCATTGGATAAGATGCACAGAGCCGCCTCATAATTGTCTTGGGCAGCTATTAAATGTTAATCACTCCCAGCCTTACATGCACCTTGATGTTTGTAATATAAAAGTGCCACACTAGTAAATGCTGTCCTGTAGCATTATAATCCAGGGAGGGAACCTCAGAATGGCCAAAAGGGAAGAATGAATAAATGAGGTTGAGGAACAGCAACACAAGTGGAAGTGTGTATCAGGCTGTGGAAGGGGAAGCTGGTATGCTAGGTTGGAGTGTGGAGGGACTCTTTAGAGGTACATCCATGTTGACTGGGAAGGTGAAGGCTGAAGCATTTGATAGCATGCCAGTGTAAACTTAGCCCAGCTAGCTTGAAAAGCTGTTATAAGGAATACACAGCAGCACAGATTTTTATCTCATGTTAAGGGTCACAGATGCCAACACCACTGCTAGCACATCTCATGTGCTGTGGTTGTGTGGCACCTAGGTATAGCTGCTCTTGTAGCACACACACAGCAACAGGTGGAGATGGTCTCTTGTGTGAGCATCTCACTCCTGACCTAAGACAGATTTGGCTTTTGTCTGGAAGGGACTTGAGCTTGTCCTAAAGGCAAGATTGCTCAAATTTCTGACCAAAACTTAAAAAGGCTTTGCCTAGGGGCAAAGCACAGGCCAGTGCTTTGAACGGGCAAGAGGAGGGAGTAAATATTTCACAGTCCTCTGTTCCTGCTTTTGATCAGCAATCATCTTGTACTTCATTAGCTTTCCAAGAAAACTGGATCTTCATAAACCCTAAAGAAAATGCTGTGATCTGCTGCATTATTTACTGTATATCTATTGCCAACAAATATTATTAATAAGCATTTATTGCAGATGATAGATTGGTGCAATCATCTATTTCATGTAATAGTTTGTCAAAGTTTTTATTAGTATTCTCACTCCTATGTTTGAAACAAATGAATATCAATCAGTTTTCCTTAAAGCTTCTTCACTTTGCATCATGAGAGAAAAATAATACACGCTTGTGAATTGAGCTGTTTTCCCATTTTAGCACTCAATGTTTTCAAATAGATCGTACAACAATTTTTGGTTCTTAGAAACAATTTACTTTTTCATAGTTGTCCGAGTTAAAATGATGTGTCTGAACGTGAACATGATTTTTATGGTAGGCAGTTTTAAGTGATGCTGTAAGGGTTCTGATTTTGCCATTTATGCTTGCTCTGTCTTCTTCACAAGTAAATTCAGTTAAACAAGTTAATGCTCAAATGCTAATAAACAATACTGAATTATTATTGGGGAGGGAGGCAAGGAGTGACCTTATATCTGTCCTAAATGTCTGTGGTGAGAAGACTCACAATTGAACTTAAATGAAGATATTTCTCAAATCAGGTGCAGTACAATGGAAAAGGTAACACAAAATATATTTTAAAATGGAGTGTACCATGGAAATTTTCCAGTAAGATACTAAAGTATCTAGAGTTATCAAGACAGCTGGTAGTTCTACAATATTATTAATGGCATGTTAACTTCCGGCTAAATTCTGGGGTTTGGTGGTTTTTTTCCAACAGTGGAAAAATTAATTTGAAACAGTAATTTGAAAATAAGATATAACATTAAAAAGGGTATCCCCAGTGCTGCATTGTACACTGAGACATTGCTAAGAATGTAACATAAAACAGTACAAACAGCTTTAGCAGGTTAAAAATCTATTACTTGTGTTCTTCACTCGAATAGCCTGTAGCAGTCGCTTAGGAGCAAGTGTAAAGGGAAAAAAGGGAAGGACCAGGAGATCCTCTGGCCAGTGAAGGGTTACTAAACATTGTGGTCCAAATGCACCCATAGGCTCAAGTAGTCCCTAAAATGCTAATTACCAGAAGCTGGAGGGCATACCAATATCCTAGGAATTTGTCTAATCTCCTTTGGAGTTTATGGCCTCTAAAAAGTCCAGTGGAAATTAATTCTACAGTTCCATTTTTCCCTTGTTTCTTCTAAATTTGCTCCCCTTGTAATTTGGTAGAGCAAATAGCATAAAATAGAAAAGATTTTATAGCATAATATTCAGAAGATCCAAAGTCATGGTTTCCTTTTCCGTACTGCCTTTGTGACTGTATAGACTCCCCTGTGTCAAAAGACATCAGTCAAGTCTGTGAATCCTGGTCAAACTCAGTATGTAATACTGGCAATGCAATGACAAATAAATATGAAGAACTGTTTATGTATGAAGTCAGTTGATCAGTTGGGTAGAAAAATTAATGTTTGCAGAAGCAAGAGTCTTTTTCATTGTACCAATACTTGTTGAACTGTTGTGCTGTTTAATTTTCTATGAATGAGCAGTTGCTCTCTTCCCACCTCTTCCTTACCCCATCCATCAAACCTGCTGTGTTATCCTAGCTCTGAAGTTCTCCTAGGTGAGGTTATTGGCAGTGGATGGGGATGAAATAAGTGATAGGGTACCATATAGTTAATAGTAACCTAGTAACTGTACATTATAGAGCTGGCTTTATTAGTCCTAAAGCATTTCAAAGATTCTGCTCCTCATCTTGCAGATGTGGATCTCTGCCATGGAAGGGTGATATATGACTTGTGACTTCTCCCAGGCAGCCAGCAAAGCTGTTGTGCCTGCTCTCAAACTGAGTGCAGTGCAACATTTTTCACTTTGAAATTTGCTCAGCAGGTCCACAGATGGGAAAAATGTGAGGGCCTTTCTGAAAAAGAACCAGTGATGGCTTTAAAAACTGGGAAAGGCTTGGTATGAAAAGCAGCATGTTGTTCTCACGGGAAATCTGGGCTTTGGATAAAGCACTGCCACTTTGAAAAGAGCAATAATTATTTTCTTTCTCTTGGGAAGTACTGTAAAACAATTCTGTGATTGTTTAGGAGGAGTTGGACACCCAAAGAAGACAGCAAATGAAAATAAACTGTATGTCAATTACAAGCGGGTTTTTTTAAGCCTAATAAATGTACTATCAGGAGAAAATTAGCCTATGAAACCAAGCTGCCTGCTCAGAAATGTCCAGAGGAAATTGGTATCCTAATTTCAGTCTAGGAAAATTGCATCTGAGCTTTTGTGGCTGAAGCATTTCCAAACAACCTGAACAGTTGTGATGTGGTCTGAATAAGGAATAGGTACCCAAGACTGTCAGAACACAACTGCTGCGGGCCTTAATAAGCACCTGTGAAAGATCACATATTTTTTGAGTGTCAGTTGAGTACTTGTGCTTTCTCAAGAAGCTTATAGTCCCATTACTGTCATCCTGTTTGCTAAATTAGCACCTTAGTTTCTCCCCTCTGGCAAGATAGCAGGTGTCATCTGCAAAGACAGCAGGATTTGACAATGCAGTGCATAATAAGAGGGGCTGGGAAGGAAGGGGTAAGACTGTGAGACCTGATCACGTATCTTCTCAGGAGAGTGTGTGCAACTAGAGAATGTGTCTGTGCGTGTACTGCTCCTGACTGGGGGAGATGAGCAAGAGCTTGCTTATAAGGCATCTCTGCCCAGTGGGAGATGAAAAAAGGCAGTGCAGATTAACACGAGGGATGCTGGGAGGTGTTTCTTTTGGTTTGGGCATGATCAATGGGAGGAATGCAGAGTGGCTTGGAAATAAACCCTAAGGATTTGTAGAGGGAGAAGGGACTGAAAAGAGCACTGCATTAGGAAGGGAGTTTTATGTCTGGATAAGTGGCAGGTAGAAGAGGTTGCTGCAAAACTGGAGGCAGGAGGTGATCCAATAACTAACAAAAATGGCAATGATCTTATCTGAGGGCAATTACATTGATTTACAGAAAGAGGAAGGGTATGGCAAAGGTTATTATGGAGCTGAAAAAGATGTTAGAGGCTGTAAACTGCATTAAGCGGATGGCTCACATAGTGGTGGTGCTGCAGGGGTGATCTTGCTGCCTCCCACTGCAGCCGCTTCTCAGACCTGCAGTCCATAAAGTGCTTGTTGGCTCTGGGGATCATGAAGCTGAACCTAACACCAATCCTTTGTGTTTGTGGGAAGATTATCTAGTACTTCACTGCAAAAACAGGTTTTCTGTTGTGGGAAAAGTATGTTCTCATTTTTACTGGCTAAAAGAATGCTCAGGATTAATGCAGACTTTTCTTATATTTGTAATACTGCTTTGAGGAGGACAGAATTTATGTTGTAAATGAAGTCCATGAGGGAATACCTGTGTTTCTCTTTCAGCAATCTCAATCCAGAGAAAAATGCAAATGAAAATGGAATGTCTATGCAGAATGATAACTTTGAAGAGATCATAAACCTGCCTATTGGTTCTAAGCCGTCGCGGCTGGATGCCATGAACAATGATGGAAGCAATAGTCCTCAAATTCCTTTGAATCCAATTCTAGCCTTTGAAGATCAGGGGACTCTTTTGCCTCAGGTAGATAGTGTTCAAACACATCAAACAGCAGGTAGGTTCACCTTAGTTCATTAATACTTGTAATGTGTTATAGTTGATAGAGGACCTGGAGCTCTTGATACAAGTTGATTAAGCATTTTTAAACACCATATTATTTGGCGAAAGGAGCATGTTTCCTCTTTGTAAAGCTATGCGTACCAAGTACATACAGATGCTGTGCTAATCATGGTGGGGCTTCATTTTTTCTTTGAGGAGGGGCTGCTCGGTTACACTTTCTGCCATTGGAAGTTGCTTGAAAATGCCTGCCCTGTGCTTTCAAACAGAAATGATAAGAGACAACTGCTGTTCCATGTTCTGCAGGTGTAATATCTGACATACCCAGATATGTCAGAAGGGCGTAAGGGAAGAAGGCAGAAGGGGACGGGGTATCTACCTTCTGTGTAAAATCCTGTCTGTACTTCCCTCCTCAAGTTCTCACTGACATTAATATTGAGGGATGGTTTGCAGCACACTAGATTTTTCTGAATTACATCACAACTTTTTAAGGGACATTAGATAAACAAAAACTAATACAGCAAGTTAAATTGAGATAGCACTGTCTTCTTCTCTGGTTAAAAATGTAAGGAAAATCATCTTACAGTAATATAAGTGCATAAAAGCCTAGCATTTTGAAGTAAGTATCTTCCCTCTTTACTGATCTGTCGTTTTTTGATACCTTCTGTTGTAGAAGTGATCTGATTGTTTCTTCTGAAGAACCAAAGGTGATAGGAGCATCTCTGCAGTCAGTGGAGTTTCTTCTAAACTATGAAGGAGCGTTTTATTTTTTCTCTCCAGTTTTTTAAGGATTTCTTGAATATCTTTTTTGGAAGGACTTTAGTAAAACCAGCAGAATAAATGATGGGAATAGACTTGGATCACCTTTTTAATAGCTTTCACCACTAGAAAAAATCATGCTTCACATGCATTACTTAATACGGCTTTTTCCAGCAAGCTTTTTCTGTTAGTATATGGATATTTCTACATTCCTTAAGACACAGGACACTGGAATCTGAAAGCAATGGGCTGATTTGGGTGGTGGGTCTGATTCTTTTTTTAAAAAGGTGGTGTTGGTTTAAAGGCATAATTGTAAAATTGGCAAAGAATCTTTCACACTTCGTGGTTCTAATACTTGAAAAATAAATACCTCATTGCTCTACAAGTAGAGTTAATGGGGTGTTCTATTATAAACCTGTTGGTTTAAATATTATTGCAGAGAACTCTAATTATGGGGGCAAACTATAGGCTTCTGTATCTGATTCTTGTAAATGTAATTCCTACAGGGACATTCTGTAAATTGAGATGTCACTATGATCTTGCATTTTCTCTAAAAACACAAAACAAGGCAGGTTTTAAAATGTGAAAATATGAAAGCATTATTTTTTCATGGACAAGAGGAAAACCTATTGTTCTCCTAGATGATGTATTTATGAATTTTGTTCAGTAAAGAAATAAATCATTTAACTGAATAAATTAGAAAAATGTGGCAAAATGATACTGCAAACTTGATTTTTTTAGTTACATTCATTTTCTCAATACTATAAAAGATGTGCATGCATAGGTGCACACACAAGGAAATCCCTTGTTCCGAGTCCTGAAAATTGCTGCTGGTCCTAATGGTGGAAGACTTTTCCTTTGCCTTATCAGACTACTGAAGCCTGTGGGAAACCTGAAATGTTTGATTTTTGGATAATGAAGCAGGTTTGTTTCAGGGTATTTGTGGTTTTGCTCGTTTCAGAGCAGATGGGAAATGGTTATTGTGCTTCTTGTCATGTGCTTTTTATAAAGTAGTGCAGTTTGAATGATAAGAGCAGCAGTGCAGGTTGCTGTCTCTCTAATTTGATGCTGATTTCTACTCTTATCATTCCACCCATTGCTTTTGGTTGCTATTGGGCAGAACTGTAAAGTCTTGCGCCTTCTTGTGCTTTGATAAACAACACTGCTACACATAGTAGGTAGAGTTCAACCTAGCTCTTTGAGCATGAAGCACCAGGGTTTGACATGCAGCTAGCTGAAGTCAGTGAGGAGATCCTTTGCTAGGGGAAATGGAGGTTTATGGGGTCTCAGTTCATGCTCCCAGAGAATGTCTCATTAAGATTCCTGCACTTGCCTTTAGTGAGCACTGATCTTGGCCTCTAGGAAGCTGTGCAGAAAGTCTGTGTTAGCAGAGGAAATCCTCTGAGACAAAAGCTGAAGAATTTTTGAAGAAGTTATTTTCTGCTGCTGGCAAGTGTTATTTTATACAGGAGATGGGATAAAACCAATGGAAATGCAATGAAAGAGACTTCATCTGCCAGAATGTATGTGGAAGGGAAAAAACAGCCAGTCAGAATGCTTTCAGTAGTAGCTTGTGACACGGTAAAACAAATTTCTTTAGTTTTCCATGTACATAGCCACAATATTTTGAAAGGTCCAAAATATGTAGTTTTCTTCAAACTTATATATAGCATGTAAGTACCAAATAAAACTTGTTTGAACTAATTCTATTTATATGTTCATTTTCTTGCGTATTTGGAGCAGGAGTCAATCTGTGATGGAAAACTCTTCCTGCTCCTTCTGGTCTGCTTAAAACTTTTCAGATGTCCTCTAATCTCTTACAAGAAAATCAGTACAGATTCACTTGCAGCTAGAAACAGCAAAGAAATAGTAAGATTTAGCGTCAATTTTAATTCTGAGGTTTCACTGAGACTCGGGTTTAAATTATGGTGATCTTGCATCTGTTTAGGCTGAGGTATAAATTATGTGGAGCTAGTTTTTGTGAGACTTCACTTTTATGAACAGGACTGCAGTAAAATATAATCATATTCATTCCAGATTTGCTTCACATAAGAGGGAGAATTTCCTCCTTTTCAAGGGCCTGACATACAAAGTAAAAGCTAGGGAATTGGGAGTAGAATTAGGTGTAGGAATCAAAAAAAACCCAAACCATTAAGAAAATGAAAATGACTGAAATTTTAAGTCTTTGGTTAAGGCCCATTCTTTCAATGTAGGGAAAAATAGTTTCTTTCCTGTTGAAGGTTGTCCTGGAGAATATGGTATCAAATGATGGCTAGCTCCTTTGCCTGCTATTCCAAATGTTTTTGTTGTTGGTACTATCACAGGTAACACTCAATTAGTTAGTGACTAGAACTAGTAATTCTAGTAGAACTAGCAATTGTGGAGGTCCAGACAGCTATTATGAAGGTAAGGAGCAGCACCCTTTCACAGCAGTTAGGCTGTGTGCTTTGGAAAGACTTGGCTCCTTGCTCTCTTCTTAACAGTGCAACATAAATGCTTGCAGGGATGACATTCAATACATCACAGCTACTGGGTGGTTCACCATTAGCTTTCCTTGTTTCTCATATCTCTTATCTCCTCATTCTGATGAAGAATGTTTCATTATTTTCTTTCTTGACAAGACCTTAAAGTCAAGAGTTAAATACTTGAGAATACAGATGCAGGAGAGATTGCACTGTTGAGAGATTTTTGTTTTGGAAAATTATCTTAGGGTTGAGATTTTCTGATTTAATTCCTAGCTGTGTCATTCAGCTCTCTGTAGTCCTCTGTTTTAACAAGCCCAGCTGCCTACAGCTGAGCACATGGGTCTTTCACGTGAGATTTCAAACCAAAATTCCTGTCACACATGAATACTGAAAACACCATACTGCTTTATCTGAAGTCTGCCCGCCCTTTCCCAGGTCTTGTTACTGCACTGCAGAGAAGCTTTTGAATGAGGTTTTGGTTGTGGTTAAAAAAAAAAAAAACAACAAAGAAACAAAACCAAAAACCAAACAAAGAAAACCAAACCAACAAAAAAACCCAACCAAAACCCAGTACTATTGGAGAAAACTTGCAGTTATTAAAAGGGATAATTGACAGAAGTGCCTCCCCCAAGCATCAAAACTAAATTTAGCAATTTGGGCCACACTAAATGCAATGTTTAACACTTAGTTAAGATAATTATATTTTATTATTTCTAGTCTCACTTTTATACCAAGTTTTATTTCATGTAGCCAGTAGCAGATGCTCTAAAGCTCTACATGCATGTAAGAGTTTTACCATGGTCAGAAGTACCTCAAAAGATCATTATGCTGGTTTTTGCCAGGGTAGAGTTGATTTTCTTCATAGTAGCTCCTATAAGGTTGTGTTCTGGTTTTGTGCTGGCAACACTGCTGCTAAGACAGGGATGTTTTTGTTATTGCTGAGCAGTGCTTACACAGCCTCAAGTCCTTTTTCGCCTCTCACCCCACCTGCCCTACCAGCAAGGAGGCTGGTGATGCACAAGAAGTTGGGAAGGGACACAGCTGGCCCCAACTGACCCAAGGGATATTCCATATCATATGATGTTACACTCAGTACATAAAGCTGGGGGAAGAAGGAGGAAGAGAAGAGAATCTTCAGGAGTAATGGAGTTAGTCTTCCCAAGTAACCGTTTTGTGTGATGGAGCCCTGCTGTTCTGGGGATGGCTGGACACCAACCTGCCCATGGGAAGCAGTGAATGAATTCCTTGTTTTGCTTTGCTTACATGGCACAGGTTTTGCTTTACTCATGAAACTGTCTTTATCTCAACCCATGAGTTTTCTCACTTTTGCCCTTCTGATTCTCTTCCCTATCCCTCTGGGGGAGTGTGAGCAAGTGGCTGCTCGCTGGGGTTAAACCGTAACAGTCAGTAAACTCTTCTGAAATGTTTTAATAAGAAAATGCTATCTGGAAGCAGATGTTTGCTGTAAGAGTGGTTCCAAAATTTCAGCATTCCAGCCAGTTCAACATGAAGCTCCAGGAGGATTTTTGTATTTAAAAAAAAAAGTATTGATGAAAGATAGAATATAGGAGATAAATTTCTAATTTTACCAAGTATGTTCACTTTTGCCTGGTTGCAAGTACCTTTGGAAATAATTTACCATTTGCAGAGCACAGATTTCTGTATTCAAACACATCTCACCCAAATCAATGGTAGCTGCTATATTCTGAGCATGCTTTATGCAACATTGACCTGCCTCAGTGTGCCTTTGCTCTTCTGGAGTTTAGTGCCTACAATGTAGGTAAGGACCAGCCCTAAGGCTTGCCCTGTTCTAATTTCTTATAAATTGCTTTCGATTTCTGAGTTGTTCTTCAGCAGTTACTTTCTGTAGTAACCTGTTAGTAGTTCGCCACCTTTATATTGTATGTTAATTCAATTGTTTTCTAAAGTCAAGACCCTGGAGTGTGCTCTGAGATAAAGGACATGGACCAGAAACAAAATAAAGATGAATGCAGAGTAACCTGTGTACTTGAGAGATGCCTCTTCAAAAGAATCCACCTGTTACATTAATAAAACCTTATGAATACAGCGCCGTTGTTTTGGAGGTGGGGGTGAGGAAACAAAAAACAAACCACTGAGGATTACCCAAGTATAATGTGTGCTTTCCAAACCCTTTGGAAGGAATGTAGCCATAGTCCTCAAGCACACTTCAGCGGCCAGCCAAAGTGTACAAGGGATTGTTGTTTGACCCGCTTGGGTTTTTGTTATGATAACATCTCTTTGATGAAATTGTAAGTAGCAGGAAACCTTAAACTACAGGAAGCAATGAAAAGAGTTGTCTTCTCTGAAAATTCTGAAGGCTTTGGTAAGTTCTCATAAGCTATCTGGCTTAAATATTAACTATCTTCATGGCAAATAGCTGCCCTAAGGAGCTCTTGAGTTTCTTCTGTTTGTTGGCGGAGTTGCTCAAGGAGTTTGGCCATTTGGGTTTCTCTGAATTCTAATGAAAATTCTGGATCTGAAGAGAAAAAACAAGTATTAGGCAAACTGCCATTTTCCCCTGTATTTTAATGCAGATGCTTAGAAAGCTTCTATTTCAGGTTAGACACAGTTGATAGTTCTTACTACAGTGTAAAGTATGAATAAGACAAAACAATGTCCTTCTACCATACAAAGCATATGCAAATCAAGATTTCAGCCTTACTCAAGATTGTTTGCTGCTTAATTCTCCTAATCCAGATGTCTAAAGCTCAGTTGCCAAATTCAGCCTTATACAACAGATGCATACCAAAACATAGCAGGGTCTTAGCTCTGGCTCTAAATATGTGGAGAGATACACATTTATTACAGTACTGTAACTCATCTATACTCAACTTCTATCCAAACCAAAAAAAAAACTTCACCAAAATGGTAAAAAAACCTCAAGGAACAGAATTTCAAGTACGAAAAATACATGAGACTTCCCAGTTTTAATAGCAGCTAATCACACAATTTCCTTGTTTGTGTGCTTTATCAGAATTAACTAAATTCATATTTGAAAAGCTTTTAGATTGCATCTAGTGCCAAACATTCTTACATTGGATAAAAACAGCTGTACCTGTTAAACAAAAAAAATTTCCCTGCCCTTATAAGATACTCTTGGTAACTTAAAAACCAGGTAAGGTAACAGCTACCCTGGGGATTATTCTGTTTGCTGAAGCGAGCAGAGTAGTCCCCAAAGGAAGCTGCCAGGCACTGTCATTTCTGTAACACAGCAGTGCCTGTTTGCCACTGAGAGGGACAGGCAGTGCCTAGCAGCGCTCCAGGTGCTCAGCCCAGCAGGAAGGACATACCGTCTCGCAGTCTGCAGAATGTGGAGATGCCCAGCTGCTGAAAGCGGATCTCTCGATGGGTAAGAAAATTCTTGAGGTAGGCCTGAATATCTCTGATGTGCTGCTTCAACAAAAGCATCATTTTTTCTGCATGAATGGGAGAATTAACAGGAGCCTTTAAAACACTTCAAAAACTGATTTTTGTAACTATTGAAGATTGTTAATGACCTATCTACCCAGCTACAAGCAATGTTACTACAAAGACTGGCAAATTATTTCCATGTAGTACAGCCTTTAAAGGTACTGCTGATACTACAGGTAAATAAACACTGATGGGCAGCTGGTCCTCGTGTGAGGTAAGTGCTGACTTACAGGCTGATAAGCCTGCCATGAACCCACCCAGGAGTGATTATGCTGTTGGACTTTGTTCACTGCTTGAGAGTCTGCTCTGTTGCAAATCCTCAATGGTAGAATTGAAACAGGTTTGTGGTGTCCCTTACTGGAGACTCATTATGGGCTTCAGTTTCTCTCACACCTAAGGATTAAAATCTAACTATACTTTTCTAGAGATTGTGGCAAAAATCCAAATGCCTTTTTCTTAAAGGCTCTCAGCTGTGTGTGACAAGTATATTAAGCATAAAGCTTTTTGTTTTCTTCAGGTAAAAATAATGTTGTTCTCATTCTCTCTCACTGCAACTTAAAAAAATACAGGCTGCATTCTTAAAAGCCACTTCAGTGCTCCTGCTAATCTAGTCTAGAATTACAACAGCAGTATTTGATTCAGTAAGATGTTTTCCTCTTGTTGGTCAGGGAGCAGGGTTGATCTAAAATTTTGGAACACAACTGTCCCATTGTAATTGTGTCTAGCAGTCTCTGCTCCTATCTATGAGGAATGCCATCACATTGTACGTACTGAGAAGGAGGGTTAAACAGAAAGATACAACAGTGTCTGCCTTTGGTAAGGGGTATTTTACGCTTTCCCACTTTCCTACTGAAATTGTTTTTAAGGATCTCAGAAGTGGCTACAGACTAGCCTTGCAGCATGATAGTGTTTGAAGATGTCAGCCAGCACCTGGATCAGATCTTTATCTATGGCCCATTTTCATCCCTGGGCTTTCTCATGCACTCCAGCCCTGGTGTATGTCTGTTTCAAGGGTGACTGTAGGTGCTTTTTGTAGAGACCACATGGAGGATGCTGTGGGAATGTTAAAGGTTGGTTGATGCCTAACAGGCTTTTTTGTTTCTTTGAGAAAATGCTCATTTCACTCCATCCAGCCATAAATCTCTGAAAGCACAGTTAATGCTGTGTGACAGTTACCGTAACCTATCATGTGCTGGATGATAGAGGCAGCTTGAAAAGATGGCTCAGTATGTTCCAGCTGGCCAGCCAGTCTCACCAAGCACTTTGTCAAGGGTTCATCCATCCATTGGACCATGTGTAATGTGGCTCCTGGAAGACAGAAAGATGAGAGAGTAGGCTATGAACAGAAACTCCAGTGCTGACGAAATGAAGGTGAGAGGTCTGCCAGAAACTGTACTGCCTCAACAGGATATCCTTCATGCAGCTGCAGAAGTGAAGTGCTGAACTTGTGCAATAAGTATGTTTAGGTTGTAAAAAAAGGGTCCATGTCCGGAGGTTATGGTCTTGGAAGGCAGGGTAATGTATCCGATTCACAGAAAGGCTGGTGGATTTTTATTTTGTTGGGTTTGTGTTCTGGAGGAATGATAACTTCACGTACAAGATACACTCTTGCCTAGTGGGTTTAGTCTGTCCACCTCTTGAAAAATTAAATGTGACATGTTGCCAGTTGCATGGCAGTTACATCAGATACAAGAGGAAATGTTTGACAGAAAATATCCAGTGCTGGCACAAGCTGGAAAAACTGACACTGATCCTCTTGCCATGAGGAGTGCTGTACCTTCCATGGGTGTGAATAAAATCTATGTGCAAAAAATAGAAATAGCCACTTTGTATTTTAGTCTTTCTTTTATATTGTTTTTTCCTGTTGTGAAATTAATTCAGCCAGAGAAACTGGCCTACATTACAAATAAACCAGACAGGCCACGTACTGCAATGAAGGTCAGCACGAAGAATTCTGAGTAAAAAAAACTAAAAAATTAAGCAATTCAACAGAAGAAAGTGCAACTATCAGAGCCCATGTGTCCTGCCAGTGAGTTGGATCCTGCTGCTCTTGAAGCTTATGGCAAAACCCCCAGTGAGTTTAAAGGGAAAGACCTGGGCTGTACATCCACCTATGCTTCATCTCCTATTAGGATCAATAAAGGGTATGTACACTCCTCAGATTAAGCCATTTATGGTAGGGCTGCTTCCCTACCTTGCTTTGCTAGCTCAGCAAGGCAAGATGTCACGTAATGAAGAGAGTCTTCTTCAGTATTGGTAGAAAGCATGGTCTGGAGGAGACCTTCAACACATGAGCTCTCAACAATTCTCTGCAACAAAAAAGAGATTAATGTTCAGCATTTCCATTATGTTTTAGTGGTGACTGAGGACTTCAGAAGTACTAAATAGCTCTTAGGAACACTGAGGGCTGAAACATCAAAAACGGAAATGTCTCCTTCCAGATCTACCACAACAGGGTGACAAACACCCTGGATTGTTCAGAGATCACCTGATTTTAGACGTTTCCCAGGGCTTGCTCCGTCAGTGGGATGTTCTCATAGGATCAGCTAGGTTGGAAAAGACCTTTATGATCATGAAGTTCAACTGTTACCCCAGGACTGGCAAGTCACTTTTCCAAAGTGAAATGCAGTATGGCACTGGATAATCACAGAGGGATCCAGCTTTGTACAAACACTGTCATGGCTGGCTACGCTCTTATACCTCAGTAGTTCCTCTACACAGGCAAAACCTTGCGGATCAGGCTACATAGCCACGTTTTGTTTCTGCACTACCTTTGCACATCTCTGCTCCACCTTATAACCTGAGGGTTGTAGAGGAACTGCAGTTGTTCCCAGGGGACCTGATCAGCATTAAGGTCCTGGGGAGCCAAATGCTATGCATCTGCACAAGGCATGCAGGCTGAACGCAGATCACCCTGAGCTCAGAGAATTTCCTGACCTATTGCTGCTGTGCCAGGCAGTTAGTATTAAGCTGTCATTTGCTCAAGTCTTGCTGCAGAAGCGAGTAAGCTGAGTGCTCCAGGGCAAAGCACTGGGAAATATGGAAGTTTTTCAGTTTCTCTTATTTGCCTCCAGGGCTTTGAAAGCTTTATGGTGTTGAAATGCTCTGATCTGCAGAAATACAAGATGACCACTCACTAGCAAATCTGAGTTCTGTTTCTGGAGAGAAATGTTATGAATTAAACATTTCTGTGTATCCCTTATGTTTTAGGTTGAATCTGCTATCTGCCAAAAGTGCTGGACAGCATGTCTCTGAACTGGGATATGTGTTTTAGAGACCTGTTTGAAAACAGATAGGAGACATAGCCTGTGCTGACCTGGATTAAAAGCACTTGAGAATGAGTCCTGACTGAGTCACCTGGAGGTGACTGGTTGCTCTTGAAGCTGAATCACAAAGTCCTCAGTTCTTTGGGAGGTCCTAAAAACAGAAGCTGCTCACACCTCCATGAGGGAGCTCAGGTATTTATCAACAAAAAGGAGTATCTCTTTTGTGTATGTGGGCTCGTTTCATGTTGCAGTTTTTTAACTTGTTGCTTAGAGGTTGTAGCTGGATTCAAGACTTGCCTTTCAAACTCCCATACTCTCTTAATGTCCTGCTGGCATAAAAACACCACTTTTTTTCTTCTTGTGCCAAGGGCTCTTACATGTTTGCGTGATGGTTCCTTAATTGACCCTGGAAACCTGTCATTCCCACTCATGTCTGTGGGCTCACTTTTGCATTGAGAGCTAGATACTCTGTATGTTATAAAGCGTTATGAAGCTCCCTGTTGATAGCAGAGTATGTGACAAATATGGTAATTATTTTAAAGCAAAATTTGAAAGGATTGAGGGAATCTATTTCCCTGCAAAAACAGATTTCAAAATTTAACTATCAAAATTTCATATAATTTTTACATTAGTAAAAGTGGAAAAAATAATGGAAATAGTTTTTCTTTTGGTTAACTTAAATCTCTGGGATTACTGGTAAATGGGTCATGAACAAAGGAAAAAAGAATGTAAAAAAAAAAGTGTACCAGAAAGTGGGGCAAAGCAGAGACAAGGATTTGGGTGGGATTTCCTCCCCCACCCCCAGTATTGATTGTTACTAGTGGCACTGTTCGATCAAGGTACTCTTAAAAGGTAAGGAGAAAGGAAGTGCCTCTATAAATCTCATTAGAAGATTTCATTAGAAGCAGAATCAGCAACAGAGATCCTTAGAGCATCTTAGCACAAATAGTATCTTTCCAAACAAGCAAAATGTACATCAATAACTGGGGTTATATTTAACAAGTTGGGATTGAAATTACATCAGTGTTTGAACACTGTAAGTGGATAACCAATGGCTGATGAAGAGTGAGAGTTAGGAAACAAGGATTCAGTTTATAATAAACCTCAGTTTTCCTCAATGGCTCCTTTTAATGAGTATGAAATGTCTTTGCTAGAAGTATGTTTTATACCTATGATGCAGCCATTCAAATTAGATAACCAGTCACAGGAAAAAAAAAATCAGGTATTTCTTATTTTCATTAGCATTTTCTGTATTGCATTGAAAAAATATGAAAAAACCCTTCTTTCATTATGGTGCATCAGGTCCTTCTATTCACACAACTTTGTGTAGAGTATCCCTAGTGCATGTTTCATTATATTATCTTTCTGTGGGTAATTCTGATTTGATATAACCATATTAGCAACCTCCCATGGTACAGTTCAGTGAAAAATATTGGGCACCTACCTGTCTGTGTTTGGAAAGGCTCAGGTTTTTGATGATACATGCAGTATGGCCAACAATCACAGGGTCTGTTTTATGTGCCAGTAGTAGCATCCCCAGGCTCTGTAGTAGCTCAGCACATGCCAGAGTGTCCTGACAAGAGCAACCGGTATCTCAGTTACATCCAGTACAGACAGCACACTGCAACTTTGCAGCATGCTAAAGATAGATCTTAGATCTGAAAGAAAAGCATTACTTAGCTCATTTAAACCAACAATGATTTGGCTGGGTCCAGTGCTTTTTCCCTCAAAATATAGTCTACTGAGTGCTACTGATCTACAGAGCACTTGCTGTCGAAAGCTGGAGTCTTTGTGGTTCGGTAGTTTATTTTTTTTTGCATCAAGCACTTCCCAGAGCTTGCTGGTAGCTAAGGGAAGGATGTGTGATCCTGACTGGAAGAAGCGGTCAGAACAGGTGTGAAAAGTGAAAGTATGTGATGAAGTAGCAGCAGCAGTGTGTCCTTGAGTACCTCAGCATGAGCCTCACCTACAGTAATGGACTGTATGTTTAGATCAGTTTGTGATCTGGCACCACTTTAGTAACATGTTCTGAACAGCATCTTCTTGAGTTTATACATGCATTTCTCTGCTCTGATGGATATTTTAGAGGGAGGGACTTTATTGAGTCCTCTCTCTGAATGTTGTCATCTTCCAATTGCCACTAATATTAACTTTCTGAGTTTGCATTACTGTCCAGGTAGTTCCTTCAATAACAGTATGGATTAAGAGGGCACTGCTGTTTATAAGAGAAAGTGACCTCAACAGGCTTTGGGTTAGGTACAGAGTTAAAAGCAAAAGATTCCATCTTGGGAGCATTTTTTCTTTCAGTCTCTTTCCCTTAGGAATTTGAGCTCTTTATGCAGTTCTTATGTTTCTTAGCAATGAACTATATTATTTGTGCTACTTAGAAACTGAGGCACATTAGCAAGAGTGTGCAATGATGTAAAACAAATCATCGGTCCTATATATAGCTGAGAAAAATCACATCTGAAACCTGTGAAATGTCAGAATCACTGAAGCAGTGATGAAAGGCAGATGTCTTTAAAAATTAGTTGAAGTTGCATCAATTTCTTACTTAGGTTAAATTGCAAAAGTGGATCTTATTTTCTTCTCCTATCAGCTGACGTCTTCGCTTACATTCATTTTAAGCACTGTCACAACCAGCAATCCTCAAATAAAACATGAAAATAGGTGGAAAGGGCAGTGCTATGCCCAAACTCAGGGAATTTAATGCAGACATGCCTGTCAATTTTCGCTGTTTTTATTTTTCCTTCTCTGCAAAGGTAGAAATAATATCATTTTAGATAATCCAGTTAAATTACCATTGATGACTGGTTTCTGTGCTTTTGGACAAAGTGTCCTCTTTTCTATGTAATCCCATCAACCACGGCACCCTGATTTGATTTGCTATAGCCTAAGAGAAGGAAATTTTCTACAGACTATAAATGAACTTTCTAATATATAACGACTTCCCTGACAAGCATTTCTGCTTATTTAGGACCTACATTAGTAAGTGACAGTACTTCAAATTTTGCTGAACCTCTTTTTTGATTGGTGTATGGTTGGGATCCAGATTTTGTTTCATGGCTCAATCCTGCACAGCATGAGAGAATCACGAGAAAACTCTTGAGTGAAAATGGATCATGTGGTTCAGATGGATACTGATCTAACTTCTCTCAAGATTAAAAAATAAATAAAATAAAAAGCTAGTAAAAGCATTCCAGCAGCAACTGTACTTACAGTTGTAATGCTGTACTTGCACCCCTTATCCAGGGATTTCTTGCCAAGCTAAGTATTATCCTCCCTTTTCCAGGTAGCAAGATGGGAAGGCAAAGTTATTTTGTACCTGCAGTGGGAAGGCAGTGGCATCATCTGGAGTAGACAGACCCCTGCCACCCTGACTTCCAGGTCTTTGCTCGAAAGAATATGATTTAAAAGGCTGTTTTCTCAAAAAGCCTGACTCTATCTCTCGTATTTCAGGGTTGGACTGTCCTTGAGAGGACTGAAAAAAATTCCCCTACAAGAGGGAAGTTTTCCAGTGCTTGCTGAGAATTGCTGTCAACAGCCTGGCCAGGGGTTTGCAAAAAAAAGGAGTTTAAGCAGAGAGAGGAGCTTCTGTGAAGCATTCCTGGGGTTTTGCTTCATGGTAACAAAAGGGCAGATGAATTCTGCCCTATTGTATCCTGGGTAGTATTTGTAATAATTCAAGCATCACTTGACTTCGTTGTAAAGGTTAGCTTTGTTCAGTGGCTTGTTTTTCAACAGCTGTTCCCATGGAGAAGTCCTTCTTTCACTCATGAGAATTCAGCCTGAATTAGAGAAAGAAACCTTTAAAAGGTTTGAAAAACAGGCCAGAAAAGGCATGGAGGTGGGGAGGCAGGATATGAGTAAGGAGAGGTCAGCCTCTTCTCAGAGTGCCTAGTGCTTGCTCGCACAAAGCAGCAACATTCACTAGTCAGGAACAGCCATGTTTACTCACTAAAACAAATTTCAATATGTAGCTACTTCTTGCTGGAGAATAAACCCTCCAGGGTAATGCTTTGCTTTGCAGTCTCCTGCTGCTGACCCTTTTCCCCCATGAAGAACAGGCTATCTCACTCCTGGTGTGACAAGGCTGAGCTCCAAGTGCCTTTGTTCCTACTGATGCAGCATCCTTTGTTGCTGGAGGTTTGAAACACTGGTAAAGACATGTTTTGGGATCAGGGAGGAAAGGATTTGTGGGTACTTTTTGCTGAGAGAACAAAAAGTGCAAATGGTGTTTGGGATCAAGAAAAGCAAATGAGAGTGAGGACGATGTTCCAGCATAATGCCTCATACTGAGGAGCATTTTCACAGTGCAAATAGCCTCCAACTAACTTAAATGTATTTCAGTTGTAAGCTTGTTGAGAGAAAATTGTGTTTTGATTGCATGAAGCAGTTTGACTAGCAAACAGGATGTTTAGTGCTGATGCAGCCAGCACAAAACATAGGAAGCCACAGTGCCTTTGAAAAGCTCTGTTCTCTAGTTGCTGCTTCCCAGGCATAGTGTTTACCCATTTTTTCCATCATGTCCCAGAATCAGAGGAGGGGCAATTTGGTTTGTACTGTGCTGGGTACGAGCAACTGCGGCGGATAACAACAGGCCTCCAATATCCAGAGAAATTTCAAACATATTGAGTGTATTTCAGCCAGGAGAAGCACATAAGTCCAGCTGTGATTACTCATACTGTCATTACTGCTTAAAGAAATGTGGCAGGGAAGGTTCTCACTTTTGTTTTTTTGCTTTATCTACCCAAACCCCGCCTCTCTTAAAAGGTTGTTTGTTAGCTTAAGACACCTCTCAAAACCCTTTCACATCCATGTTCCTACAGATGTCCAATTACTGTAACAGAAAGGCACATTAAAAAATAATTGGTCAGTTGCTACTTATTGTTTTTGCTGTTTTATGTGGATGATGAAAGTACAGCAGGACTGTCTGCTTTTTTAATTTGCTGTAGTTTATTTCTCAACAGACTTCTTCATGTATTTGCATAGTATTGCACTCCTAATGGTGTTTACCATTGTAGACGGTGTTTACCAGCTGGTCTGTAACTAACAACATGACGAGACACAAGAAAGTCCTTGGGAATTATCAAAAGATTTCAAGTTCTATTAGCTCCCCTGTCTTGATCCTAATTCAAAAGATGTTAAATTTATGCAAATGCATTTTTGAATAACTGTCCATATAGGGAAGT